CCATCCATCCATCCATCCATCCATCCATCCATCCATCCATCCATCCAAGTCATTCTCTTCTAACATAAGGACTTGTCATAGTGACTGAGATGACTGCCTTTGTGTTTTTACAAGTCAGAATGGAAACTCCATATTTCATTACACTGATACAAAATCAACAGACTTATCTCAGAGTCTCTCCATCTCCGAGGCTGTGCCTGTCTGTTTGAGTCGTGCTGTTTTCTCTGTGCTGCTTTAACGGGATGATTCTAAAAAAATCGTCTCAGTAGAACTTTTTCAAACTGCCTCTGATTTAAAGGGGGACATTCTTCTTTCTTCACAAGTGTCAATTTCCTTTGGTAAGTTTCCACTTTCAAGGATGCTGGACATCGGCATGAAGATTGCAATAATATCAAATGAACTGCAGGAGTCTCTTTATCTGTACGTTTTAACGAAGAAGAAAGGTGGGCTGTTAACAGATAGGTTCCTCCCACTATCACAAATGCCTTATATGTGAGCATAAAAATGGTTCTGGAAACTTCTGTCCTGCTAAGATTAGTTGTCTCTCTTTTTGTCTGACATACTGTGGGTTCCCCACTGATATGCAATTATTTGACTCAACCAAAAAAAGATAACTTCAGCTAAGTCGGATCAAGCATACATTTTCAGATAGTGATGGGGCTTCCATGTCAGATGGAACTGAAAATGGTTCTGTCAGGATCAAAACAGTTTCTGTCATTGTTCACGACAGACAGATCTTTTTTCACTTTCCTCAGGACAAGTCATCCATGTATCGTTCCTCAATACAAGTCCTCACCAAAAATGTTCTCACTGATAGATGAAATAGGTGTGAAGCTTTCAGAATCACTGAGAATGTAGTTTTTTATGATTACTGGGGAATCAACTGTAAAGGATTATGAATATGCTCTCTTCTCAGCGGATGCCCATTTTCTGATACCCTTTTGATATTAATCTAATGAATAGGTAATACGAGACATAGCAGTATTGTTGTGAGTTGTTGTGAGCAGCAACATAGCAATTATATGTACTGATCTGAAACATATTCTCTGTATCCAAAGATGTTCTTAAACTGTGTGGTTGGATTATATCTGTACTTTGAACATCTAATCTGCAGTTAAACCAACAATAAAGATAATAGAGGCAACTCGGCTCTGCAATTTGGCGTATGACAGTGCTGATAATAGCCTCTCTGTGTAAGATAAATATTTCAATACATCAACAAGGTTTGCATTATAAAGGCTGAAGTAATCCTATTTGATTCATACTTTGGCCTGGATGAATGCATCATTTCTCCAAAGAGATAATAATAATAAAAATAAATACATCAGATCTGGGGCAGATTGAATCTGAAGATAACTCTCCACACAGACTCCAACTGAATTAGATATCTTTGGACATTTCTCTGAACACATATCTGTTTGAGTTAACAACCACAAATTGTTTGGTTACTGTTTTATGTTTTGTCAAAATGTGAAAAACCCATATCAAACTTAGAATGAATGTGTTTCTACACCAAATGTTCAAATGTGAAAAACCTGCATCAGAGAATTATTTTTTTCATATCACTGACTGTAACACTTGACTCACAATAAGAAAAGATGAGGAAGAACTGAACACGACTCATCTTTTATTTACTGTTCCTTTTGTATATTTCATGCTGAAAATGACTTTATAGTTTCTGGATTGCACCGTGTAATGAAGCTAGGATTTCAGATGGAAACTGTGTTGGACTTTTGAGGTATGAGAGTTTCACTTTTGTTATTTTTATGCTGACTTGGAGAAACTCTGCATAGTCGCAATGTCCCGAACAAAAATGAATCTTAAAAAGAAAGTGCCTCTAATTTATTTAAACTTTTGCTGTCGGATGAAAGTAAAATGTTTTTTAAAAATGGAGGAGGGAGAAGATGGAAGAATTTGGATAATGATATTTTTCTCTTAAATCAGATGAGGGGATTAATAGTTCATCCAGTGACAGAATGTTGTTCTGCTGTGATAACAGTCAGATATATCTTTGCAAGTGTGCATGTTCCTGTCATGTTCCTGCTCTCAGAAAACATTATATAATATGTTTTGCTTTATGGTGTGTAATATCATGACACAGATGCTCCTACCTATGGCAGTAAAGATAAGACACACCAAGCCAGAGAAAAGTCTAGCAGAGCCTCACTGGCAGAAACGGAGAACATTTCTCCTTTATATTTCCTAAAAAGTCCCTCTGGCTTAAGCCCTTTGCTCATAGCTGTAGTTTGGTCATTACAAATTCATAACCTGCAAAAGGGTAAGTTTACATTTGATCAAAATAATTTGATCAGGAATAAGTGAAGGATAACTTCGCCACTACTAGTGCTGAACCACAAATGAACCTCTCCAACTGATCGCCTGCTGTCCTACTTTTTACGCTTTCAGATATTTTCAACACATTTACTGCAGATGGTAAAAAAAAAAAACTTTTCAAAGATATTCAAGAGTCAAATGGCACAATCAGCAGGCGTCTCCAAGAAAAGAGCTGTCTCGATACCCTAGTGATTGCCCACTACAAGTCAATATCACAATCTTAGATAGCAAGGGAAAAGAATAAGACCCTTCAAACCTCAAATGTTTTTTTGTCATGTTTCAGTCTGTTTTTGCAACACGTCTATGGGAATAATTTTCCTAATGTGTTTGTCCAAAACAACTGTGTTCTCTTCTTTTTTACTCACATTTTAAGTAAAAAAAGTCTATTTACTGCAAACTCCACACTGAAAAGGGTACCGAATGCCGACCCTGGGGACCAGAGTCCCTCTTGTTGTGAGGTTACGGTGCTCCAACAAAACTAATGCAACAAACAAACAAACAAAAACAAACCATAAACATAGTTCTTCATTAAACAGATGACATCTTTCCTGTATAGAAGGCGAGAGGCTAAATTTACTAAATGGAACCCATTTGCCATTTTCAAAAATTGTTTAACTAATTTTCAATTTCCAGGCTTTTTGCTGGCTGCACTGTTGGTTTATATGTCTTTCATGAGGGAAACTTTCAAGATCTTTGCTCTGTGGCAAGATAGATTATTGTCCTGAAAGAAATGACGTCATACCTTCCTTTGCTGTGAGTGAGAAAAGTGGAGAGATTTTTCAAAGTACATCTGAGCATTTACTGTAGAAAATGACAGCCATTTGCCCATGTACCTTATCTGAAATCAAAATAATAACATCAAACAGATGCTGACACTATTCCCTTGCTCAATGCAGATAGATGATTCATAGGAATCCTAAAATAATCCAATCATCCACCATCCATGCCCACTGTAAACATGTTTTTACCTGTTTAGTTAAAACAGCTTTATGTTAAAACATAAAGCTGATCTCAAAATCTTTGCCAGAGGTTCTATTAGGCTGTGTGTTTAAACAATACTCCATAATATAGAAATGTTAGAAATATAGAAATGTTAAGACTTTAGGTTACCTCAAGATAGAAGTGTTTACTTCAGTTTTTTGTCAATCATGTCACTCATGATCCTGAAATAATTGTTGTAATTTACTGGATCCAACATCTCGGAAGGTTCCAATTGAAGATGAGCTCTTTCATGCTCTATCCTTCGAATAAGTATACATGATAGAACAAATGACATTCGTTTCTCTACCTGTGGCCCTTTTAAGCAATAAAAATTAGCCAATTAATTAAACCTGTCCACCATTAAATGAATGTGAAGGCACACAGGGAATAATTACTAATTAGTAAATAATTACTGTTACCAAACTGACATCAAAGGTCACTCGGACTAACTCTGACTAACTTCCACTAATTAATACATCTACGAGTCTTCCCTCAGTGCCAGTGGGCTGTCTCAGCTGTCAGCTAAACACAGGATTGGACAGTGATAAGCCGGGTTGGGGAAATGCTGTTGCATGAGATGGAATTTCAACTTTGTCCCCTGAAACCTTCAGGCAGATTTCCTCAACTACCCCAGAGGAGCGTAGTGAATAAACTCCTCTGCTTTTCCTGTTGTTTCATTGGCGTTTCATCAGCTGCTTTAATGTCAAAATAAAGATGCCGACTACAGACAGGGTAAGATCACTGGCTTGTTGTAAGAATTAAATTGGAATGTGTGGTGAAAGAAAATGATCTTGCTGGAAAGTTATTATAAGTGGAGGTGACAGAATTAATTTTGCTATCAGCAAGTTATTAGAAAGTGAGAGACATAGATCAGAAACCAGCAGAAGGTGTTTGTCCTCTTCCTGAATTTTAAGCAGGAAGCTGGAAAGGAAATTTGACTCGTCTAACTCTTTGTTTTAGGTGAACGAAGGGATGGACATCTTTGACCTTCTGCTAAGGAATACAGGAGAATCGGCCAGTTGCCACAGCGACCAACCGTGGACCGTGACAATTAATGATGTATGTGGCCTGAACATTCGGCAGTCTTTGCTCCCAAAATGAGTTTCTAAGGGAACAACATAATCACAAGCCCCTCATTTGATTGACTTCATTATGAAAATGTGAACACTAGGTGTGAACTGGATTACGAGCATAAGTCATGCATGTTGGGGCATAATTTCATTTGTGTTACGGAAATCGTTTACAGTTTTATGATATATTCCGTGGTTTGGAAATGAGGTGTGTTCGTGTGCCTGTCTGCGTTCGTGTGTGGGAACATGATTGACTGATGAAATCTGTTAATCCAGTTGTGTTGTGTTGTCCCTTTCCTCAGAACACAAGCTCTCAGGGAGGCAACGCTGATGACTTCTTAAATGCTCTGCTGCAGGAGTCCTCGTCCGCGCCGGCATCACCTCTGTGGTCCCCCTGCACCACTGACAGTGGCATTAACGAGGAAGCCCTGACAGATCACACAGACAGCCCCCATCCAATCTCCTGCTCCGCTTTCCCAGAGTTTGACATCCATGCTTATCCTAAGCCTCCATCCGTAGGGAGCCAGACGCCAGCGAATGAAAAAACGCCCGATATTCGCGTTGATTTGGGTAAGATTGGGATGGGGAAAGTGGGGAAAGTTTTAAGCTCTCAATTGAGCAATCAAACAGTATGGTAGAATATCTCTACAGGGAGCAACAATGTCAAGTTGAGAGCAGAAATCATTATCGGATTGTCAGAAATAGCAGAAATTCTAACCTTGAGTCCATGAGACGTTTTGTGCAGTCCCCTCAATTGAGGGAAAAATTGGTTATTAACTGAAACTCTTTTCAAAGAGTGAAAAATAATTTCAAATTATTCCTATTTCTGAACATTGTAGGGGTAGAAATATGTGCAAATGCCATTTGTAATGTAAGCACATGGTCTTCTTTGAACTTAGTTGTCTTTGAGTGATGAAAGGGATTTGACTTAACTGAAAAATGTTAAAAAAAAACATGGAAAGACGCTTTGGAGAACTAAAAGAAAAGCAGAGGATGTTTTCAACGGTCTTTGCTCCCAGATAAGACTAATTAGATCAGATTAACCCTTTAAAGCTTGATCAAAGAAAAAATTTATGAGATTATTTTTTGTTTGTAGACTTTATTCGACCCTTTAACAATACAATACAATACAAAAAATAAACAGGAATCATTTTTTGAATATTCGTAAGTTATTACTGTGCGATTAGTCTAAATTATTGTCACACAGACTTCAGCTTGGTGCTATCAGGTATGTCTGATTGTGTAAAACAGGGTTTTGAGCAAGGTTTTTCCTATTAAAAAACACAAAAAGTCACAGATGCAAAATATTTCAGAAACCGCATGCATTAAATATGATGCAAATGGCATAACAGGGTTAAGGTTTTATGTGCGTTTTTCTCAGTGTAACTCTTAGCTTTTCATACTTGTAAACAAAAAACTGTGCTTGGTATTATGCTATCAAGTTGGAGGCCTTGACATCTTTGCACCTTGTTATCTGACAACGGAGGCATTTTCAGGTTATTTCACTGAAAATTTGATATTAGATGCCACTCTATTGTCAGGTGGCTGGGCTGGCTTTTACAAACACAAAAACAGAACAAAATGATTGCAGTTCTCATCCAGCATTGTTTTCATTTTCTTGCCAGCAGCAACAGTGAGCCACGGGGAACAAATAAGACTGCTAACACTGATGAAGATAATTTACCAGCCCCCTAGGTTTTATGCTCCTGTTGTGTGAACAGAGCTGCTTATGAGCTGTAACAAATTCCAGCTAACCGCATCTGCCTGATACATTCCTCTTCATCAGCTCCCAGGCTGTTTTGTTGTCTATTCTATCTTTGGAACATTTCTCTCTCCCCCATTCGAGCTCGTCTCTGGAGTCCTGCTCATGAAAAGGACATGCTCCCATTACAACCAGAATCTAAATTAAATCACGCATTTTTGATTAACTAATCAGATCATAAAGCTTGTCCAATTGTAGATTTGAACCATTACTCCAATCTGGGTTTGTGGACAAAGTTGCTGGTTTCGGCTATTCTGATTCAACTGCTGCTACGGCAACCGAGCAGCACTCCTCCTCCACATCTTGGAGCTTCACCTGCATGAAGCCACCTTCGTCTTTTCATTTCATCTTCGAAAAAGCTTTCACTCAGCCTGGGTACCACTTTTCCAGCCCACAACTGCTACCTTTTCTTTCTCTTGATGCTTTTACGTACACAAAATGCACCTTCAGGAGTGTGTGAAGTAGATGTGCTTTTTAACTGACACACAAAGCAAACCCTACTTGAAATTTGGCCTTTAAAGATTACATTTAATTGGATTTTTTTTTTCCATTTGTCTCTTACATGTAGACTGCACAATACTTGTACAGTACAGGGGGCTGCATGTTTTTATCATTTGTAGGTACTCTTTTGCTTTAATTGCAAGTAAAGATTCAGTTTTTAAAACCAGGATCCTGTGATTCATTGTTTTCTTTTTCTTTTTCTTGCTTATCATGCAGGCTGGGATTCTGCTGGACTTCATGAGGATTTTGGAATTACATACTATCTCACCACGAACCAAAATCCCCTGCTATCATCCAGCCACACTCTCACAGTGAAGGACCTGTTACTGTCAAACCTGGGACAGAAAGTGAGAGTTGAACATTTTTCAGGAAAATTGGACTTTTGTCAATCTTTCTCACCCATATTTTAGAAAAAGTTATTTGAAATGTATGTTCCAATGTTCTCTGCATTCTCTGAGGGATAAAGATGACTTTTTTTAATAGAAAATTTACCATGGTTGTATCCTGTTAAATCAAGTGAGCCTCAGAGAGCCCATTTGAACTTAAGTATTGTTTCACAGGTGCAACGAACCCCTCAACAGTCCCTGGAGGATCTCAATCTTAATGAGGATGAGAAGAAGCTTCTGGCCAAAGAAGGAATACATTTACCAAGCAAACTGCCCCTGTCTAAGGTACACCAGTCATATATACATTATCCTCTGACCACAAGCTCCACACACATTCAGTCTCACTCCGCCGCACACCTCTAATCCCAGTTAAATGCCTTCAACCACTTTACCCTCACCACAACTCAACCTCATTCACCACACTCATCCTTTTTCTATGTCATTCTATTTTATGCCTACTCTCTTGTTCATTCATCTCTTACTTCTTTCAAGTTTGAAGAGAGGGTTTTGAAGAAGATCCGGCGGAAAATCCGCAACAAACGCTCGGCTCAAGAAAGCCGGAAGAAGAAGAGAGAATATGTTGACAGTCTGGAGGGAAGGTAAGAGCCGGCTGCGCCCGGCATCCCTACCTCAGCATGACATTATCTTTGCGTACTTTGGACAGGGAAATTAATTGTTAAACCAAAGTAGATTGTCTGTGCCCTGAAACATGTATTTACTCAATGAACTTGCTTCAATAAGCCATTTTCATCCACAAAAAACAAAAAAACAAACAAAAAAAAGAGACTCAGATTATTCAAAGAGCTCATCATTGTTCATTTTGAGAAAGGTCAAAGAGGAGAAAAGGTGAAACCCCAATATGGATTAAATTAAAGGACATAAACATTAATGCAAATGAAATGAATTAACACCGAAGTGACAAGCCTTGACTACCGAGGTCAAAATGCATGTCTTGCAAGTCAATACTATTTGTAATGATAACGATAGATTAATCACATTTTAAGAGGCAGATATTTGTATGGAGGATGGAGGATAAATATATTGTAAATAATAAATTATTGATTGATAAATTATTAAGGTTTTGGTACAACAGTTGTGAAAAATACCTATGGAAGAAAATGTGGAATAACATAATCAAATGAGGACAGATACAGTTGCAAACAGTACGTAAAATAACATTTTGACATCCTTCCACCCTTGTAATTTAATATCCAGCGCACCTGTGGATGGGGTTGATCCAGTAGTTTCCCTTCACTGAGCCCGAAAAGCATGTAAATCTGGGTGAGGCTAATTACGCCATAACAGCCATTAGCATATTAGAGTTTCCAGCTTCTGCGTGCAGCGGCTAGGGCTGAAGGAAGACCTAAGGACGAGATAGCATTTTACCCAGGAAGTAAAGAAGGCTTTGCCAGCGTGACACTCATTTTTGTCTTCCCCCCCCCCCTCACTACCTTCAAACTGTGCATCGTGAGTGTCACCGTGCAGGCTGCCAGCAAAATTTGTCCCTAGTCCTGCCTGCCATGCACATATTGGCTCTTTCCCCATATCTCACCTCCACAAACAATATGGGGTGGTGGAGCGGGCAGATAAATGCAGCTGTGTCCCCAAATCCCATCCGGTTTTTTTTTACATTTCCCACCAGGTTTATTGTTCATGAGCTCCACTCTTCCAAGGTTGTTTGTAGGGTGTGTGGAGCTCACACCACTGCGCTCTTATAAAGCTGGTGGTTGCCCTTTCATCTCAGCAACGGCAGGCTGTGAGAACGCATTGATGTGCTGTGACTACAGGGGTAGAGAAATAATGGAGAAACAAACCTCACTGACTTTTTCATCTTATTCTAAATGTGACAAAACCTGTAAATTCAACTCATTGTTTATTCATCTAATAATTAATTGTGTTCACAGTTAATCTCTGAATAGATAAAATTCACCTTTGTGCATGCCCGGATGCTTTATAAACTGATACGATTTCCTTCAAGCATGGGCTCTGTTTTCTGATAATCACAAACGTATTGTGATGGGATCAGATTCTTACTCCTACAGTGCATAGTCAGTATTTAATAATATTTAAACCAGCAGCAAGTGGAACTAATTAAGGCAGAGCCTCTAGTTCAAGGCTTTAATGAAGGATGATGTTCTTAACAAATAGAGAATAGGAGATAATCACAAGTCACTGGGAGACCAGTCATGTCGCTGGAGACAAAGGTTGAGCGGTGACAATACCCAGAAGATGAAAATTGTGGAATGAAAAAAACAAAGAAACATTCTGTGATGATGGTGTTTGATGTCTCTCTTCAATTTTTCCGCCCACCCTCCCCACCCTTTTTTTTCCCTTTCAGAATGTCTGCATGCAGTGCTCACAACCTCGAGTTGCAGAGAAAGATTCAGGATTTGGAGGAGACCAACAAGTGAGTCATCGCATGTTCACAACAAGGTTACAAGGACAATCTCAACACTTTCAAGTGTTTTGGTTTAAGCGTAAAAGAAGACAGAAAATTAACTCATGAAAATATTTGAAGAAAACTTACACGATCATGCGAGAAAATTTGAAGGGGTTTTCTGTTTCATTTTCTTCGTAAGGCTCCTCGGTTTCACTTTTCTCTTCACAAATAAATGTATGCCCCAGAATCAAAGGTGTTGCCCATATCAGCTGGTGTTTACAACACGTCATGATGTAATCGACTGTTGACTTAAATGCGAGTTATCAAGATATGATAACCTTCAATTTTTTACCCTCGACATCTGCAACTGTATAGTTAGTGCAGCTTCTGTGATAATCTAAATCTTGTTTTTTCTCTTGTGTCACCTTGCTGTAAGCTGTCAGTCAGCGCTTTGCTAATTTACATTCATGTACACATACGTTCTCTCTTCTGAGGTGCAAACAGCCTGGAAGGGAATACATGCTTTGATTTCCCTAAAACGTTGTAACGTGTAATATGACCAGACTACAGAATTGGGTTTGAGATTAGTTTTCCAGCCTTTGCTTTGGCTTCACTCTGCTCTGTATAATGGAAGGAGAAGCCTGAATCACATTCTTTTCCTTTAGCACACTGCCCTTTTTCTTTTTACATCACTCGTCGTGGACAACAAATGTTGAAAAAATGCCTTCGTTTCATCCGTGGGCTTCCTAGTAGAACCTCCACACAATATTTCTCATCTTTTTCTCTCTTTGTACTGCAGTGCTCTGCTGGAGAAGCTGAGGCGACTACAGACTCTCTTCCCGAACAGCTCCGGCAAAACAACAAACAGAACAGGAACTTGCATGCTGGTGAGATACATTATGGTTTGTTACTTGACTTCAGAGCACCAAATAAATAACTTAGATACATTGCAGCCTTTCTAAATGATACAGTAGAAATATATATGTCATAGACAGATGTTGGGCAATAGGAATAATCTATAATCTTGATTCACCCCGAAAGAAACTGCTGCTGTATTTACCTTTAAGATTTTAATATCACCCATGCTCATCTTTTCCTCAAGATGCTATACAAGTAATCCCCGATAAGTCCCTTTCATATTGCCACCATGTGTTAGTTAATTTCCTTCTCATTTGTGTTCTCTCTGCTTGGCCCTTTTTCATCCTGCCGTCTGTATTTGTGTCCAGGTTTTGCTGCTGTCCTTTTCTCTGCTCATTTCCTCGAGTCTTCAGCCCAACCCGTACAGCCAGCAGAGCCAGGCAGAGTATACAGAGACCAAAGGTCCGTAGATACATATTTTCTATTTCATCACTCGCGCACAGCCGCGAACGCACGCTCACTCAGCCCCGACACGTCTTCTCCTTTCAGCGTCGTCCCGCTCTCTGCTGTCGGTGGATGAGACGGGAGGGGTCTCTCCTCCCATCGTTCCCCATCCCTCCATCTCCAGGGGCTTTGAAGTCCTGAGAAGCCTGACGGAGAAGTTACAGGCCTGGACGGACCTCCCCGCTGCAGACCACCCCTCCTCTCACCGCCTGGATCACAGGGGAAAGGATGATTACCTGTCTCACCTGAGGAGAAACGCATAGCAAAAGAGTGCTGACACGCTTGCAAGTGCATTAGCCAAGCGAGCACCCCAAATACTCTGCAGGACTCTTATTGTTAAAGACTCGATGGCTCTCCAGCAGACACATCCAACCAGAAGGTGCTGCGTCCGGTTCACTTTCTGAAGTTTAGTCGATGCGGACGTCAAGGACCAAGTGGATTGGTTATTGTATCTATGTGAAAAAAGTTTTATTTAAATGTAAAAAAAAAAGCTGTTAAACCTTTAAAAAAAAAGCCAAATGTATGTTCACTGCTGTGAATCTTTTATTATTCACTTGAAATTTTCATTTTAAGTGTTTTTTTGTATAGCATTTCAATGAAATGTTGAGGAAGAAGGATAATGATTGTTCACAGGCAAATGTTGGAATCACCTGAGTCACCTTCTTTCTTTAATTTGCCGTATATCTAGTTTGGAGGATTTAGGGCTATATTAGAAATTAAAACTCTAACAAGAAACTCCCTCAACACATTAGTATCTTTAGTAATTTCACGGTGTGGTATCTATCGTCTCATCGATGACAACCCGTACAGTTATTCACCTCTTAAAAACATTAAATGATTACCAGATCTCATCATATCCATCAACGCTGTCACATCACAAATGTTCTGTGAAGCTGCTATGTGGATAAATGTTTCCATTTCACAACATGTGGTGAGACTGCAAGATTTTGTTTGCTCTCATTTTGCCAATTAAAATCCTTATCGTTCGGTCATGAGCCCCTGCTCTTCTATGTTATTTCATGATGTCCAAAGCGTCTCCTTCGAGTATTGGGGGGTCCTTTTGCCCCGTCATTTATGTTCATGTCATCGCTCACTGTGACTCAAACTGAATTTGGAAATCCCTCCTTCACTAATCTTTGATTCCTTCTACCACCTTTCCCCTCCTTCCTGAACTGTAAGTAGTGGCAATTCAGCTCAGAGCAGCTCCACAAGATGTTTTTCTCCCCCAAAAGTACATGTGTTGGTGTTTTTCCTGAAATCGGTGACTAACCGCTGGAGGCCCTGTATCTCTAATAAGACTTGTGGGACTTTTGGGAGGAATTTGCGCACATTTTGTAAACTTGAGGGTATTAAACAGATGATTTTGAGTTTCCCCTCTTTGAGAAACACACAGTGTTGCTGGTTCTGATAACCTTTCAGCTAAATCCAAAGGTCAGCATAACAGTGTTAACTAACAGTTGACAGCCTGATTCATATGTGTGTGTAGTTGTGCTGGTAAAATGTGGACTCAGCTGCAGTATTTATAAAATCATACCTGTTTTCCACATAACAATCCTCTCTTGGGTGCAGCTACACATGCTCAGAGGTGAGAATGTGCACGGAAAGAAACAATCATTTTACCAGTTCTGAGCCAGAATTTCAGGCACACCATCCAGTCTAGCTCGGAGTCACAAATTAATTATTGATCAGACAGCATTAAGCAACGTGTGGTGCTGTAGTGAAGGCGAATGCAGGTGGAAATTGGCTCGGATCTTTAATCAGAGTTTAAATCAAAGTGCTGCTACCTGAGGAAGAAAACAGGTCACAAGGGAAACATGATTAATGAAATCAGTTTTGTAAAGTTTGGCAGTTTTGACACGCCAGTGGGCATTACAACAACAAATAACAGAACACAATGCAGCCAAATATCAAGGACAGGCTGGCAAGAAGAAACCTACAAGGTATTGCTGCTTTGGCTCTGCTAGATACAGAATTAAAACTAAACATGGATCAAGTTGTGTGGACTCATGTGAAACATAACTTGGTACAAAAAAAACATAAAAAGGGGAAGGGAATTGTTTGTAAAACAAAGTTTAATTTTGTGGAAAAATTGGGGCCTCACCATCACAGGCGGTCAACAGACAACAGGCAGTGATGTGGTTTTTCTTAAAATGTCTTCATTCACTATCACCTTACCAATGATATCTGTATATTGGTATTGATACCTGTGTATTTTTACTGTAGACACAATCTCTGCTCTGAAAAAAACATCTGCTGTAATTGACAGAGATGGACTTTACGTTCTTTTTTGCATATTTAGGCTGTAATCAAGTGGATTGAAATTTAAAGCCGACATATTTTACCATCATGAAAAGATGTAGCACAATGTCATTGATCCACTTTTCAGAGAGAAATCCACATGCAAGTGCATTTCAATCATTCTCAATAATGGGTAAGAAAGAAAGAAAACTTATGTTGTGATTGTCTGAACTTTTTTGTAACGTTATATTGAATCAGTATATAATGAAGCAGCAACAGATATTCATGTCATTACTCTGTGAGGAGCATTGTGGGGATGTTGGACAAATGTTCAAAGGCGAGCGACAGATTCACTTTTTGTCAGGTGTGCACACTGCGATCACAGACACAAAGGTTTTAGATGTCAAGGGCTTGAAAAAATGTAATCCCCTGGAATTAATGAACTCTTTAAATTAGAAAGATACAGTTTCAGATGAATAACAAATAGTTGCATATCACTCTATTTTCATTTAACAAAAAAAACAGCCATGGTGTGTAAAAACATCCTTACTGTTACCAAAATAATTCAATAACGTGGAGTCCATCACAGGACAGATATAAGGCAGTTCACAAGTAGAAAAGATTTGTATTATTTGTCTGTCTTCAGAGGAATGGAGTCAATGCTCAGAAAAGATCTCAGGGTTTCCAAGACGAGCCTTTTCTCTCAGCACAGCTTAGGTTTTCAAAGTTGCATCTTAGAGAAGCACAGTGGAACAATGTCTTCTGGATAGACATTACCACATGTGGTGTCAACCAACCACAGCAGATAAGCACAAATACTTAAGCAAAGTCAGCGGTCAACAGTCCCCAAAAATGAAACGACATTCCTCCATAATTACGAGAAAGGTCAATTAAATTAAATTCAGAAAAAACATAATTCATTGCTAAAAATGTGGCTCAACAAACTACTGAATGAGGGTGGGTCTAACTATTGAGTAAAATAATTTTAGATGGACCAGCTCATTTAAGATTTACAATCAGATGACATAGTTCTGCTGTAATTGATCTGATGGTATTTGGTGCCCTGTGAGTGCTTTTCGACCGATTTGTGCAAGAGACAAAACAAATAGATCGGATTGTTTGTTTAACAATTTAAGAAAAAAGGAATGCAGAAGGTTATATTTGCGTTTTGAGGCATATGTAACGCGACAGGATCTTTTTTGGGTGTAAACAGGAGACCATCGGACACTTTTGACAGACTCCGACTAACCCTTTGCGCAGTGTGCACAGCCGCTGGATAAAATTGTGCGCATGCACAGCGCGTCGTCAAGCGGTGAACTGGAAACCCTGCGAGTATAAAACAGCCCAGTCCGCGTGTGCGCTCAGATTCACGGGATGAAGACCCAAACGCACCACAGACGCACGGAAAAACGCGCCAAAGTAGACTTGTGCTCAACGACCGGTCCTCTAACTGAGAAATTTATTTTTATTACTGCAAAACATTAACTTCAAGGGAGTAAATGCGAGTCACGCGTCTCTGATGTTTTGAACAATTACCGCAGGACTAAGAGGATGGAGATGTTCGCAAACCTGAGCAGTTTTGAAGTTAACCTTGCAGAAGCGGGAACTTGTTTTTAAAAAAACTCGATTTTTGGCTTTGCACGGCCATGCAGAGCAACGCCAGCTCGGGACTGAAAACTGCGCTGAGTGAGTGCGGAGGAGAGGAGGATGAGATCTCAGCGCTGGTCAGCCCCACTGGAGCGGTCTCCAGCCTGCCGGCTTTCAACATTTCTCTAAACTGCTGGCTTCACATCCTCTCCAAGGAGTCCTCACTCGATCTTCACGGAGACAGCGCCAACCTGCCAGTGAGTTTAACTATCCTATCCTATCCTATCCTATCCTATCCTATCCTAATCCTAATCCTAACCCGTACCTCTATCCCCCCACAACTCTTTCTGTGGTCCCCTCTACCTCTATCTCTTGCTGTCACCACTGATTCTGATCAGTGTTTCTCCTCTATTTAGCTTATTGTCACAGTGATGAGAAATGTAATATTGTGTCTACTCTGTAAGTCGCTTTGGATAAGCGTCTGCCAAATGCATAAACATAAAGATAAAATTAAACTACCTGTAAAAAATCCAGCCGGGTGAGATTAGAGAACACAGTCAAGGTTAAAAAAAAAAAAATCCAGTATCTTCTTGTTTTTTCTTGTTATCTCATGGTGTGTACTCAGCTACTGAAAAACAGCTGGCCTATAATGAAATGCAGATGTGTCCGTTTGGTAGGTGCGTGTGGTCATTGCTCTGGTCTATCTGGTGGTGTGTGTCCTGGGGCTGGTGGGGAACGTCCTCGCCCTCTTCCTGCTCCACTCCCGCCGCCGGGGCCATCACCACTCCTCCGTCGACTGCTTCGTCATGGGCCTGGCCATCACCGACCTCCAGTTCGTCCTCACGCTGCCCTTCTGGGCCGTGGACACGCTGCTGGACTTCCGCTGGCCGTTCGGCAGGGTCATGTGCAAGATCGTGAGCTCGGTGACCACCATGAACATGTACGCCAGCGTATTCTTCCTGACCGCCATGAGCGTGACCCGCTACCGCTCCCTGGTCACCTCGCTGAAGATGAACAGCCCCGGGGCGGCCGCGGCTCGAGCCAAGTGGGCCAGCTCGGCCATTTGGGCGGTTTCACTGGTCGCCACGCTGCCTCATGCTTTCTACTCCACCACGGTCCAGGTTGGTCAAGCGGCTCTTCGGCCCTGATTCGCTCTTTCTGTTTTCGGCGAGCGGTCTTTGACCCACTTGTTGTGTTTCCAGGTGTCCGCGGACGATGAGCTGTGCTTAGTCCGGTTCTCCGACTCTGACTCGGGCCACATGGATCCCCAAGTCCTGCTCGGACTCTACCAGACGCAGAAGGTCCTCCTGGGATTTATCGTTCCCCTGATCATCATCTCGGTGTGCTACCTCCTCCTGCTGAGGTTCATCCTGAGCCGGCGCGTCGTGAGCAGCGTGTCGGGCAGCGAGATGGAGAAGTCGGAGGGCGAAAAAGGGCGACACCGCCGCCGATCCAAACTCACCCGCTCCGTCACCATAGTCGTTTTGTCCTTTTTCGTCTGCTGGCTGCCCAACCAGGCTCTCACTCTGTGGGGGGTGCTGATCAAGTTCGACCTGGTGCCGTTCAGTAAAGCCTTCTACAACACGCAGGCCTACGCCTTTCCCCTGACTGTGTGTCTGGCCCACGCCAACAGCTGTCTTAATCCCGTGCTCTACTGCCTGATCCGACGGGAGTACAGAGCAGGACTCAAGGATCTTCTTCTCCGAGTGTCTTGCTCCATCCGGAATGTTTTCTCTTTGGCTTTAAGAGGAAGACGGGTGGAGGAAGCTCCGTCCAACATGGCCATGATACATAAGAACAGCAACGTGTAATTCCTTCTGTCACAGACCACGGATATTTTCGGAAAGGGCATTATTTTCTCTGTATACTAATTGCATATATGATATAGAGATATTGTGCGTTTGTTAAGGGGTTTTAGCTTTTCTCATGGCTCATTCTCACTTATTCACACACATCTCAATAGGTTGAAACTCATAAACATGGCGTCCGAATGTTGCCAAGGGGTGGCCGCCACAGTCCCAGTGATAGATGAGAAACAAAGTCCCAGACATGGAGGCCTCAAATTCTGTAGTGGTCATCCATAAGAGGAAACTGGGATAATCTCCTTCTCAGCACTTACTTTCTGTAAATACCATATACCTTATATCATGTCTGGGAAGATGCTGGTCAGTCAAGTGAGTTTATCGTGTTAACCAGAGACAGCTGGTGGGTCACACCTTTTTAATCTTGGCCAAATGATATCAGAATTCAGAAGGTTTTTTCACAATCACAAACGAAAATCAAAACTTTAGCCTGATAAGGAAACAGCTACTTCAAATGGGGAGCTTTTTTGTTCACCTTTGCTTTTTTCCCGCATTCAGTTGATCTTTTTCATAATCTTTCTGTGGTCACTGAAGGCTCTAACATCGGGTATGCTCACAGTCGAGCATCAACGCATCACATCCGCTTAAAGACAGATCAGAACGCTGTAACATCTGCAGCTTGTTGGGGGCTCTCTTCACACCTGGGCTCCGTCTTCAGTATCTGACTGACGCTCATAAATCGATGGCATCTTTTGGCTTTGGTTTAAATTGATGCATACAGTTGTGCAACTTGCACCACGGGCTGTTTTTACAGCGTAGTCAGCACATTTTCTGTGTGACTCACATCACCGCTTGCCAGGAGTTCACCTCAAATTTTCAATACAAACAGAGGAAATGTTTTCCCCGCTGCGGTCTCACACTTTCTTTAATCCCTTTAGAAGTCATGGCCACCATGACTCCAGCATAAAGTGGGCTTTAAAATTGAGCTAAGGGTCCTGAAAGGAAATCAAGATTCCATATTCCAGCCGTTTGGGCAGCCGAGGCAAGAAATACATATAATTTCCAAAGACTCTACTACCAAAAACCGAGAGTGGTCTTGACCTCCACACCAGAATGAAAATGCTGAACTTTTCCTAACAAAGATTTTGTAGATGTATGAGGTTTCCTTTTATGCCATTTCATACAAAAATCCTCCTCTCTGTGTAGGCTCTGCTGTATTGCTGTGAACAGTTCTGTACATCCATGTATGTCTTGTGACATTAAATAAAACATGAGGACAAAAGAGTTTACAAACGTGTGTGAAAGTTAATCTCCTCGCAGTCACGGCAGCATCACGAGGAAGCAAATGAGTCAGGCCAACAAAAGCAGTTCCATGTTTTTGCCCTTTTGCAACCTTTAAAATCTGGACACGGATAACCTTCTTCAGCAATCTGGAGACAGTCCCTGATGTGTTAATAGCACGCGAACACTCCACGTCGCTCCCTCCATTCTGTGCCACTCTGATAGTGATTACTTCTGAAGTCAGACATTTCCTCTCCCTCCTTCTCCTTTTTTTCCCCCGGTGTTGCTGAGAACTCAGTGGGTGACCAAGGAAACCTTAATCTTCCAGTTGTAAAAGGAAAACCAGCCAAAGCGAAACTCTCAACCGATTACTGTCCAGTGCCGCGCACTAGCCCTCAAAATAATGACACAAAAGAGAAATCCTCTGCCCCTAAACTCTGTGATGGTGCAGATTTAACATGATATCAGGCTCACTTGGTAAATGGCCTGTGCTCACATAAAAACACCTGGCAGGTACAGGCTCTGTAATCGCATCTCCACCGAGCAGTTCATTGTCAACAACACGGAGCAATTTCACAGCAACTGATGAAAAACCCCTTGAAAAAAAAAAATCACACGAGTGTTTCCCATTCGTGCCCACGCATCGGCACAATGGTTTAGGGTTTAAAACAATTTCAGGCTCATGTGGGCTTTATTCCCCATGAGGACACAGTCAAACGTAAAGAGCATGAATCGCAAAATAGGTCAAATTCTGTCACACTAGAGGGCGAGCACAAAAAAAAGAAAGACAGAAACAGCTCTAATGCTGCCGCCGGAGATAAAGCTGTTCTTCAGTGTGTCGGAGTGGCCGTTTCCACGGGCAGGGGATTGAACCCTGTATAGTAAGAGCAGCTCTTTGACTCAGCCACCAGCTTGATGGAGCCAAATGTGTGCAGGCTCCAAAACCAAGGGGGGAAAATCATTTGTACAGAGCTCACGTATTTTGCGCGAGCTGAAACTCAGTATGAAATCAGTTTCATCTGGGGAAAGTGCTTCTAGTCCAGTGGAGCTGAAAAGCTAGAGGAGAAGAGAGGAGTAACTCCATTAAATTGGATACTGTTACAAGACAGAAGAAGTCAAACAGTCTGAGAAGCAATGATAAATGAACAACTTAGAGGGTGCTTATACCTCCTAACTTGTGTTGTGTATCAGCGAGCTGCAGAGGAAAGCTGCAACTGAATTCTCAACACTTTTTTTTTTTTTTTTTTTAGCTCAGCCCACATTAATTAACTTCTTCATGGTGCATCTGATGAGCAGCATCCTGAAACGGTTTACACAGGGAGGTGACAGTTGCGTTAGACGTTGGATGATTGGTGAACCGCAGACTTTCACCGGCTGAAAATAACCAGAGACACATAAATAGCTTAGAAACAGGCCAGAAAATGCCACCCAACAATTAAGCCGAAGACACTAAAGGCAACTACGAAAACAAAAACAATGAGAAACAAAGTAATTGAGAGAGGAAATAAAGAATGTAAGAGAGTGAATGAGAATGAGACAACACACAAAAATGGAAAGAAGCCAATGGTTGTTGAGAGACTGAACTCATGTTGGTGTTTGTTCCATCATTGTTACAGGACAGAAACAATCATATTCTGTTTGTGGAGCCAAATCTCTGCCAGGTTACTATCATCATACCTTTAGCCATCTAAGAGAGTCTTGGACAGCAGAGTGTATCTCTGCTACCAAGTCTTCGATAATATTAGCATGGGATGCTTTCCCACACTTTTCATAATAATGATCAAAACTATTCAATATATTCTACAATATTTGAGTGTGTTTGTAGAACTTGCCCCATAACCTCTCGATCCTTCAGTGATACTCTCAACTCAAGTGTGTGTGTCTGTATGTGTGTAATAGAGAAGTGTAAAACCTTCATCTGAATGTTCCTACAATAGAAAAAAACATTAGAACAAAGGCTAAATTTGGCAACTAAATTCCAATTAGTAGTAAGTCACCTCAACACCTGTCTAGCAGTATGTTAGAGACAATGCTTTTCTTTGTCACACTCGCCTACTTCGCCTGAGTTTGGGTGTTGGGCACTCAGTTTCCAGCCCACTGAATAACCTCCTTCATTTGATATTACTCTGAACTCCCCTCAACTCTCGCCATTTTCACAGCACTTCAATCAGTTTGATGTTACAGTAAAACTTTAATGAGGATTTGCTGCATCATCTGAAAGAAACTTGTTTTTCTGCTTTATCGGACTCATCAGAAAGGAAGGATTCTTTTGATTGCGCCCCAGCGAAATAAAAAACGAGCGAAGATGAGAGGAAACCTTTTTGCTAGAGGTGGACGACTACCAGGGAAGAAACCAGAAAACATGTTGAAAAAAAAAAAAACACTTTGAGACGAGAAAGTTCGTCTGCATTGCTAGGTAATAAATTAAAAGCAGGCAGTTCAGAACAAACTAGGGCTGGAGATGAATCTCTTTCATGTTGAAGAAGAGTGACTTATTTTAGCTTACAAATGCAGAACATTGTGGGGTCTTTTGACACTCTCATAAGGGTGTTCAGAACTCGCAGGCAGTGTTTATCATTTCACTTTCCTTCAACGCATTACAGTTATGCAGTATGTTAGTAAAACCTTCACAAAGTATTAAACCACCACTCTGAGCTTCACAGCAGGTTCGTGCTAAATGTTTGATGCTTTGAGTCTCGCCTCCTTTTCTTCCAAACACTGCACTTTGATTCATTACTGAGGAGTTTGATTCAAGCTTCATTGGAAATCATGGATCTTTGATAAACCTTTGCCCTTCTCATGCCAGCTCCAGCAAAAACTGGCTCCTCGCAGCCAATATTCTGTGCTCTGCCTGCCGTCCAGAGGGAGTGGGCTTCGCAGACAGCAGGACTCGGATGAAGACTCTGACCAACATCCATGCAGCTCCTCTTTAAAGAATCTGTATTTTTAGAACAAGCCTGGAGGGCTCCAATTAGAAATTCACTTTCTGCTGGTAGATCCAGTGGACAAGGATGCTTAAAATGTCTGATGCTGATCCTCAGAGATACGGATCTCCTCACTACTCTGTGTCTTACACAGATCCTCTGAAGGAAAAACCCCGATGCCTGACGTTTAAGTTCCTTTTGAAGTTATCTTGAGTGCCACAGCCTGACATCCAAACAGCACATGATAGCAGGTCGTTTACAAAGTGGAACGCCGTGACACTCCTTTAACTGCCCAGCGACATTCTGAGATGTGATTAGAGCTGCATCATTTTATACATCCACCTCAAAAAGGTTTGGGCCAAACCGTATTCACAGCGGTGGACGAGCGGCAAACCGTGACACGGCGTATAAAAGCAAAAAGCCCTCGGTGAGTCCAGCCTCACCAGAGCAGGTGAATGCAGCGGAGCAGCAGGCAGGAAGCCAGCAGTCTCCTCACCGATACCTGCCCCCTGTCCAATTCTTAACAGGGGTTATCACCACTGCAGCTTTTGTTCTGAAATGAGCAGTGATAACATGTCAAATGCAAAAAAAACTCAAAACAAAACATTATCTATCTAAAAATGTCAACGTGAAAAAGAACACACACAGTGAAGCTGTCTCAGGGTGCGAATATTGAAGTTTACAGACTGTTTTTTTTCTTGAGTAGCATCCTTATGAGATACGGCAGCAGCAGAGAAAGCTCAGACAGCCAAAAACAAACAACCACAAAGCTTTTAAAGACTTTAAGATGAAAATGTTTCTGGAATTTTGCATTAAATAATCTATGGATGTTCCTTTCACATCAACACTCTTGTAAAATATTCCATAATACACCGAGAAACTAAGAGCATATTCATTTTTATTGAACACGTGACAATGGATGAGTAACCAGGTTTGTAGTAGTGAGATCCTTCTTTAAAAACTCTGGATCCTTCTTTAGATCCTCTGGATGTGACGAATGCCTCTGAGCAGCTTTTGACATCATTGACAGAAAGACACATTCTAAATTATGCAAGCAAATGCTGAAGGAAAATAACTGCATGCCTGCCTGTGAAGTGACTCTGGGAAGTCACAGAGGCAGCATTTCATCATCCCAAAGAGCACAACTGCTTCTGCCCAGAAACAGAATCACAGTAGAAAGAAGCTTGTTATCCAACAAGCAAACCGGAAAAGGGCTCTAAATATCAAAAGCTGCCAGGCTTACTGTATGTTTATATTTTTTCACACCAGTCTAAACTGACAAAAATAATAGCAGATAAGTCAGCAGAACAGTACTCAGGCTCACATTCAGGCACTTTGACCTTTCTTATTCTTTTACTGAGTCTCTCCTAACGAGTAGACCTGAGGCTTATAAAAAAAGAAAAGAAAGAAAAATACATAAATAAAAATAGTTTGAAAAGGAGAGAAATGGGGGATTTAGGTAGTGTCGTCCTCCCAACTGACCATAGTGCTTCAACACACATGGTAAAGGGTCCTTGCAGTAACTCATAATGACGTTTTAACACCACTAAAGTGTCTAAACTTCGACCTCGGAAGTGTTGATCGACAGAACTGTTCCAACATTGCCCTACCTGAGAGCACCACAGGCTTTCTCACACTCCATTAAAACCAGTTGGTACAAAAGGCAGAGCCGGGCAGTTTTTTTTTCACAAAGTTACTGTTTACTTCAAAATAACAGGAATCAGAATCAGGTTGACAGCACGTATACATGTACAGAAAGTAAAAAAGTGAAGTGTGGAAATATAACATTCTTTTCCTGAGTTTAAAAAAACAGAAAACAAAAAACAAACCCTGCTTCCAGAGACGTACAGCACTACTCTCATTCAGAAGAAAATCAGCAATGACCTAAAATTTCCCAGTGCTGTATGCAGCTACAAGTCAGTCAGAAAAAAGAAGCTGACTTGATATTCCTTTTCATAACATATCAAACCATGGAGTCTTAAAAGGCAAAATCTGCAGGGACAAGATCTGGAGCACAAGGCTATAAATATTAATAAGGTGCAGCAATCTTACACACCTTATTAAAAACTTATTTATAACAACGTGCTCCAGATCTTGACTTGTTATCCTGTCTGTTGGTGCAGCCAAACAAAGCTCAGAGTTGAATAATGTGCAACATCCCCCCACCCCGCCTTCCCCTTCCATCCAAGTGAACGCGTGTTGTTATTAGGAAAAACAACATTTCTAATCAAGCATCCAATTTGTGAGGATGAAAGCTGAGAAGCATCACTGCTCTTCATGCCTGAAAAGGGGAGTGTCAGCAATGGGGAACAACAAAGCCACATCAGAACTGAGAAAAACTGTCTTTTTTTCAGGATGGGAACCCCTGTGCTCGTGTCTCTGGGTTGTTTTATCTTGTAAACTTGTAGTGAGAAGAAGTACCTGAGGTCATTTCTCTTCAGTGATCTCTGGTGGGAGATCTGCTCGCTCCCTCTTTACTGAAATGCTCTCGTCCTTACCACACTCCTGGGTTGCCTCTCTTTTTCTTTCCTCTTTAATGTTGTCTTCTTTCAGCTTTTTGGAAAGGCCTCGGGGTGGTTTGACATCGGCGTCGGCCCCTGATGGGGCAGTGGAGCTCTCGCAGACGGTCGGTCCCTCCCATTTTGGGACGTCTACACCCAGCAGCTCCAGCAGCTGTTTCATGACCTCATCCACGTAACCATGGACACGTAGGTGGGCATGCTTGTCCTGCGAAACAGATAATTACATAAGTAAAACATGGAGATCTGGACTAACCGTCAGTCATTAGGGGTTTGACCAGCCCCTCACAGCCGCTTTCATTAACCCCATAAATGACACTCAAGGAGACGCATTTCGCCCGGCCTTTAATTTTCTATTCATGTCAGAGATCTGAGACTGATTATGGAGAGCAGACTTTGTAATCATAATTATCAGCTAAAGCAATCAGTCATCTGATGACATGTTTTTTTCCACTGGTAATGATAAAGTCTGTGTAAACTTAAATTGAAATATCGGACAGTTTTCCTTTCAGGCATACCTTCAGTTTGTTGTTATAATTTCTTCAGACAGAAAATGAAAATATTTTAAAAAACCTTCATTACACAATGTGTTAGTGTTCAGAGTGATTAGCTATCACAGGCTGTGACATATAAAAGGCAACGTTTTGAAGAAAAATTCCTCATTTTTTGGTGAGGTGACACTTGATTGTTGCTTTTTGCTTACATTTCAAAGTATGCTGCTATTTATTTTAAAGCAGCATTAGTGAACAAGTTTTTTTATTCATGTGAGTCCACCCACCACAAATGGAAGATGCAGGTTTATGATCAGTGCTCTGAAAAGCTTAAGCTTACAGGTCCAGTTCAACTCAGCCTTCCCAGAGAGCAGGTGAGTCACGGTGACAGTGTAAGGTGGTTGCCATCACACTTTACCCTACAGGCTGGGCCTCTGATAATCAGGAAAGTGATACGTGGGCTAGGTTACCACTATTGCCAGGAGCTGACATCAGCCAGGACAGAAAGACAGCTCCCCACAGTTGAAAAGAAAAAAAAAAAAAATCAATCTCTTCTGTTTTTGTCCTGGAGGTGTTGCTGCCAGGTTCAGATGCTGCCACACCTACAGCAGAGTTTTTCAACACCTGCCTGGATGCTGATTGAACACTTTGCGCTGAAGAGCTGTGTGCAGTTTGGTTTAAGAATTCAGGAAACTCTAGAGCAGTTGTAAAAACGTACATGTCCTGGCTCGGGTCGTACCATTTTCAGGTCATATGTATGTCATTTGGTTCCTGGAGCCAGAAAAATGGTGCACAGATTGACTTGACTTTGTAAATCCATTTGCTGCTCCATGCTCTAAATTATACTCCAACGCGGTACAAGTGAATTCAATCATTCAGTTGACCAATCAACCAACCTCTTCTACGTGGGCTACAGAGACCCCCAAAAAATGTCCTGCCAACAAATTTATTCCTGCTGAACCGATTCTAATATGTGGGTCTAAGGGGGCTCTCTCCCGTGACAGTTTTAGGCAATTATGTGCTAATCCAATTTTTCTGGACCCAGGGTTGGCTCCACAGGGACACGGGGGTATTTGATGTTCACAAAATGAAACGCTCCACACGTGTATGTCGGTGCCGTGTGAATGGTACTTGCATGCTTCGTAGGCTGCAGGTTGACTATAGCCACTTTCCCTCCGTTGCGCTTGGTGAGGAGTGGAAGGTCACCGCTGGGTTTGATCTGCATGGACGTGCCCAGAGTCAGTGCCAGGTCTCCCCGTCTGCATGCAAATAGAGGGAGGCGCAAGAAGAAGAAAAAAAAAATCAGCCGTTAAGAGTTCAACTAGGACTTTTTGGGATGTCCTGTGACATGCCGGTTATCATTTAATGGTAATCTACACACAGGAGACGTGCGTGAAACCAGTAGTAAGCTGAATTTGAACTTGAATGTGTCATAAAAAACAAAACAACTCTCCAAATACATTTCTCATATGTTCAGTGTATGCCTGTATAATATAACCGAGACAGTATGAATAAGATATTGAGGTAATAGCTACTGCACAGATGCTCAGAGCAGGCTTAGCGCACCCACTGCCAGTATAACAAATAAAAGATCAAACATCCATCCATCCATTATCATAACCGCTTATTCTCTAATGGGGTCGGGGGGGGGGGGACTGGAGCCTACCCCAGCAGCCAATGGGCGAGAGGCGGGGTACACCCTGGACGGTCCGCCAGTCCATCGCAGGGAAGACATCAAACATGAGTAACTTTTATACATAGTTTATGAAATGAATTATTAATGTCTGTTTATTCCACAATGCCTGCAGGATCTCGTCATTGCACCTTGCAATGACTTTGCCAACATGTTTCCATTTCATTTGATCTTAATGGTCTGCAGCACAGCTTGTTGGATGTGTGCTCCAGAAATAGCAGCTCATGCACACAAGGAGTGTTCCTTTATATACCAAGAAAAAGCCAAACGTTAGGCACCTGCATAAAACTGTTGCTCTCAAACGGCGTGCAAAGCACCCACTCAATCCTGGTATTAATCCACTTTTAAAAGGTGAGACTAAATGAGTACGAGAGATGCCATTTAAGCATCCACAGTTTGTTAATGTGGGAAAAGCTGCATGCGGGTGCCTCACCGCAGAGCTAGAAATCAGCTTTTGATGGCACATCTTAATGTGTTGTATTTTTTAACTTCACCACAGGCTGGAGTTCAATGGTCGGTGTTTTAAATCCAGTCTCTGCAATTCAAATGGTAATTCTGCATCTATTATTGGCCTACACATCAAGGTGACACCCATTTGTTCTCCTTCTGCTTTATACACACACGGTAAGAGCATTAGTAACTGAAGGCATAGGTGGAAATCCTGATAGAGAAAAAACATTAGAACTGGCTGTGATGAACACAAATGCATACCACACTGACACAGAAGCCACAAAGAGGTCCCACAACAAATCAATCAATTTGTTTCACTTGACAGGACAGGATCAAAGTGCGGCTTATGCCATTTAAGAAATCGGCATAAGGAAGGGAAATGAGCTTTATGTGACTATAAAGGCAAGGGATGAGAAAGGTGTCTCACCTGCTTGCTTCTTCTGCTCTTCTCAGGTCTCTTTCAGGAAGGGCATCTTCCCAATCTAGTATGGTGCTGATCAGCTTCCCCCTTTTATGATTAGAATGGTGCAAAAACAATTTACTTAAAAAAAAAGCGTAAGAAAAAAAAAAGCCAACGTTTAAATTGGACTGGGAGTGGATTACCTGCATGCTCTCAGTCCTCTGGAGCGCACCACATCGCAGTAACGTCCCGTTGGTTTCAGCCCCATCACACCGATCACCTTATCTCTGACGTACTGCCTGGAACACCCAGAACCCGCAAGATCAGGCTTTTCATTCAGAGAAGAAGTGACGGCGCTAACGTGCATCTAAGTGAATCTCTTTTTCCAAAATTAAAAATGACTAAATAAATAACTTTTTTTTTAAAAAGCCACTACACAGCTTCTGTAACAAGATGGTGTAGTTTTTTTTCAGTCTATTGACTCATGAAGGTTTTGGAAATGCTCAAGGAGGAGAGCAAGGATCATGTTGCTGCTTGAGTGTTTAAAAATACATTTTGTTCTTCTGTCCCGGATTTCACACCCCAGCCCAGGAAGCCACAATGGGAAGGTGAGTAGTTTGCTGAAAACATTGTGAGATAACAACTGTGCATTAACCTTTAGTAAGTTTCCCACCACAAAGATGGCTCAGTGTTTGCTGGGGAAACAAACACAAAGCTTGTTTTGGATCAATTTAGAAAGCCACTTTGTGTGTGCAGAGACAACATTACGCAGACAATTCCCGTTAGCAACAGGCTTCTTTATTCTGCTGCGGAGCGTCATATTCAGCCCCTGAACAGCTACCTGTGTCCTTATGCCTTCTATATGTATGTTAATTTGAGATTTTTCTCCTTTGACCCTGTCTGATTGAAAATAATTGCATGTAATATTGATGGAGACCTGTTTTAAATAAAATAAAGTAATATTAATAAGGATAAATCATTGTAAAAGCATTTCATTATCCATCAAACTCTAATAGAAAAGATCTCCATCTTTGATAAAAAGCTTGTGAACACCACCATGACAGACAATGTTTTAACAATTATCTGTAAAAAGATTATGAACATTGTTATTATCATTAACAATTGTTAATTTCTAAATAAATAGAGTATCTTTTGGTTAGACATCCTGCTCTTAGAGAGCACTCCGTGTAGCGATGGAGCCCCGCGGAGAGACATGAAATAAGAGGTCTGTGGCAGGAGACTTTGATGGAAAAACAGATCTTGTATGTATTTTTCATAAGCACTGAAAGGATCACGCTGGGCCAAAGAGGTAGTGCTGTACATTCTGTCAGGAAAGAGTCAAAGGCATTTTGACTTTTCCAGAGGACATGAAAGAGGACTTCTCAATCGACCTGTTTTATGGAAGTTTCTCATTGTGCTGAATTAGTCTGTGGAAAATGGTTGTTTTGAGCAGTTTTCAGGTTTTTGATTAACTAGTCTGGATACTTTCTGGTATCTCTCTGTAATGCTGTCTTTATCTTTATTAATTCACACTGAATCCAGACGACCTATGGAGTTAGTTCCCCTTAAACCTCCAGAGGAAGACTGAAATGATTTAAACCCATTCTTTAAGTGCTTATTAGTTATTGCTTTTTTTATATTATGAGAAAGGTTTTGGGGTCAAAGTTTTCGCTTCTTTATTATTATTTTTAGAACCAGAGCATCATAATTACAAAGTCAAGTTAGGATTTTTTTAAATCTTCTTCAAATTAAAAAGTTTGGTAAACAGCCCTTCTGTGAAATATTGAAACCATATTTTTTTCTTAAATTGAAGAATTGAGCCAGAAGTGTGCATTTCCTCCAATGTTCTATAATCTCTTTTTAACAATCTTTCTCTGAAAAAAACTTTGATTTCACCAAAAAAGACGTCACTTTTTAATTTCAAATCAACAATTTGGTTGCATTTCTCATTGTAATTCTTTTTCTCCAAGCTGTTTTTTTCCAGAACTGTTTTTTCCCATCCATCAGCTGTTAAGCTCATGTGACAAACTGATGCACCCAACAAAAGGTTGAAGTTCTGGGAAAGACAGCAGCTTGTATTTTCACAATCGCACAGTGACTGGCTGCTTTGGTTAGTGTGCATCACCATACCTGCCACACTTCTCGCACTCCTCCACAAACATGTTTCCATGAAGCTCGGACAGTTTGTCCCTGCCAGTAGAAAAAAAAAAACAGTCATCAAGAAATATTATGGTTGTTTTGTTTTTTTTCAAAAGTTACAGTTAACGTAAGACTCTTTTTCTTCCCTCAAACACATACCGCTCAACGACTATTCTGATCACTTGCATTCTGTTCTGAGTTTCAACTGGCTATATCTTCAGATTAGTGCCAGCTAACTCGACTAGTATCAGCTCGCTTGCTGTTTCAACACTTTCCTCAGAGACGAGCCTCTCATTTCAGAGAAACCTGAAAGAGGGGGGGATAAAGCTGATAAATGGCTTCCAGCAAGTCCTCCAATAAATGTAAAGACAAGATGAATGCATGAACTTGAGATTGGACAGTCAGCCTTGGGCTTCGTCCAAAAACATTTACACATGAGCATTTCTGACACTCTTAGACTGGCCTCTTCTCACTTCTTTCTTTTCTTCAAAGCTCTTTTATTTGGTACAAATGGGCTTTTTTAAAAGATGCTTGACATATGTGAATAGAAAATGTATCTGGATGCCACATTCCCCGATTCACCCGTAAAGCACCTCTCAGCATAGGCTACACTTCAAACACTGACGGAGAAAGTAGGATATATGGGGTTCAGTGTCTTACTGAAGTGCACTTTGACATGTAGCGTTGGGAGGATGGGATCTGAACCACGACCTGATGGTTAGGCACCTGCTTTTCCTGCTGAGCGTCCCTTTGCTCCGAAGCAAATCAAAGCCCTACTCTAAAAGTGCTAACTACTGCTAGTTCCCATGGGCAAGCACTGCTTTGATAACTAAAATAAAAGGATATTTTGCCTTTTGCCCATTGACATGTGAAATATTGTAGAACAAAAAACTGCAGTAGTCTTGAACTGCAGTTCAAGACTACTGGGGAAAAAAGGAAGAGTGTTCTGCTTGGAAATACAAAAACTTTTCTGAGCTCTGGGTAATGTTTAATGTGACACAGCATCATCAAACTGCTTTTTAAAATGAGAGGAGGCTGTAACTATGACAACATGAAGGGATTGCACTGCATCCCACTGACACGTCCAGTAGCACACACTCTCAATGCCCACAAGCTGTGTTGGACAACAATTTCTGATTAACATGGATTTCTCATGGATTTCTCTGATCATAAGACGCAGCAGGCTTGCAAATGTTGTATCAGCTGAGCAAAACAACCGCTGTGTCCGGGGCTGGACGCATTCACACCTGAGGAACATTGGTTTCTTGGAGTTCTGCTCCATAGGTCCATTTTGCTGCATATATACACCAATTGTTTGTATAAGATGATGCTTGTCAATATTTTGTTTTACAAATACAGCTGAGTGGCTTTTAAGCTCCAAAGCACTGGATCTTGTGACACCTCCTGGCGGAGCTGCATACAGAATAAAAAAAAGCCCTCCCTGAAGTTTTCTGTTCCTCACAACAATTAAGACATGCCGACATATGGAGGCCTCTGTAAGTATGTACTGCTCTTTCTGGGATTACAAAAACATAAAAGATTCTCATTCCCACATCTATCCGCACTATTTAAAACATAATTTGGAATATTGTATTTTCAAACTCTTTACTGATTTCCTAATTATTACTCACACAAATATCAAAGCAAAGAGATTTTCGATACTGCCTAAAGTGGGCTGGACTTACCTGGGGAATCCTGATCGGACATGCAGGCCGTCTACATTCTGGCTGATGAGATACTTGAGATATCCAGCCCTCTGAAGTCCCAGGAGGGCCAGGTGAGTTAAACTGGGGCGTGCATCTTCAAATGTGGTATCAAAGTGAGGCGACTCACCTTTTTCTTCTAATGTCCATACACCCTTTGGGCCCCTAAAAGAGAGCAGATGGAGATCAAGTGAACTTTTTTTTTTTTTTTAATGGAAGGAGTTCAAATTGGATCTGTGTCCTGGATTGATGAGATGCAGTTCACGTTTAAATATGCAAGAACAATAAAAATACCAGAGATGTTGCCTCGTAAGTAAAATCCTCTTTCCAATAGTCAGTAAACAAAGGGGTCCTGCCAAACAGCATATTCATTTGACAGAAACAATTCTAATAGCCTCCAACGGAATTTCATTTATCAGACTAAAATGTATCAACTTTGTTGCCAAGACACCATGCATTTTGTTTGTGTTGCTTTGCTTAAGTATTCGGTTTTGGGCGTGTGACTGGACTACCAAATGCTGCTGGGCTGTCGGGGTAATCTGGCTTCTGAAGGCTGCCAAGCTACTTTGAGAACAAACTTATCTCTATGCAAAAGACAAAGCCTGTGAATGATTATATGCAGCCGCGACAGCTTCATCTATTACTTTCAGTTTGAACCTCAGTAGCTCCCTCTTTCATCTGCAGTATGGCTTACTGTCTGTTCAGCAACGGCGTTTCAAGCACTCATCAGAAACAGGGCACTGGGATGTGCATGATGTGTATCTGACACATCATGCTGCTGGACATGAAAGCCACAAAGCAGCTGTAACAGCTTTCTTACACACCTATAGGTTCAGTAATGTTAACCCGAGGGCCTGAAATTCCTATATATATATATATATACTTTTTTTTTTTTTCTCCATACATACACACAAAGAATAAAAGAATAAATAATGCATCAGAGGGGTACATGTGCACACAAACCTTGGTTTTAATGATGTACCCTCTGGGATCAGTTCCAGAAGACTGACATGGATAACAATCAAAAATTCATCCATTTTGAAACCCCAAAGCATACATGCGCGCGTGTGCACGGAAATATGGATATAGAGTGTTTATGACTCTGACAACTCTCTTTTTTGACGCAATGCATTCCCTTGCCTGTTAACCTGAACCCAAGACCTAAAACAATGTTTTTAGTCCTCAAAATGATGTTATACCAGTGGCCACAAAATGTCCGTCAAGCAAACACCACCCTCCTGTGCTTGACCACAGGTACTACAGCAAACAGAGGTAGGACACCAAATCAAGTGGGCCTCGTTGTGCTTGAAGACAAATTGAAAGGGGGAATATTCACTGGGCAGTGCAGCTTCTCTTAGGAACTCGAGGTTCCAGTGCCAGTATAAGACTGCAGATATTCAATTCAGCAGCAATGGCAAAATTAATAAAGCATGGATCTAAGAAAATCCCTGTGTGATATCAACTGAAGACTGAGAATAATTCATAGAATAATTCATCTTGGCTGCCTTGTGCATCCTGATTCAGTCCTTCCACAAGTTTCAACTTGTGCAATATACTTTTTAGAAAATGCAAAAAAAAAGCTGAGTTCTTCACATTTACAATAGTTTGACAGCATTTAAATCACATAGCAACAAATGGCAGGCAAAATGACTTGCTGAGAGAAAAAAGGAAATGTTGTTTTGGGGTCACTTTTAGGCCTTTGATCCTCAACAACAGATTGATTCACTCTATTCATAAAAGTGTGAATAAGCGTTTTTTTAACAGAGAGAATATTAACATTTTCCTGTGTAGAAAACCATGCTGTGCAAAGAGAGAAATTATTTATTCTGAATTAATGGAGCATTATTAATTAAATAATGAGATTAGATACAATCAAAGAATCATTATTTCCACATGAATTTTCTATCCACTAAACTTTCGAGGGGGGGAAAAGGACAGAAATAAAACAACTGTTGGACGATCTAACTATTTCTTTTGACTTACCAACACAAGCTAAATCAATTTATTGATGAACTGCATATTGGTAACTTATGCTTATTATTATGCTTCCTTATTGATAGGCTATGCTGATGAAGAACAAGAAAGTTACAAAAGTTTGGAGGTAAAAAGAGATGAATGTGAGAAAAAAGTACTATATAAACAACTTTGTGTCAAAATGAACAACTCGTCAACATGTTTCATTGTTCACTTCTGATCAAGCATTTAAGATTAACAAACACGTCGGGGTAGATATGATGGGTGTTTCAGTAGAATTATCTCGAAGCTTTGATGCAGCTTCCCAGTGTTTGCAAACACACATTTCTATGGAAAAATGTGGAAGAGGAGATGGTCTCACCTGAAATCGGGGATGCCTGCTGCTGTGCTGACTCCGGCTCCGGTGTGGACAACAAAGTACTCAGACTCTTTTACCAACTGAGCCAAAGCTTCCACCTTCGCCTTCAGCTCTTCGGGACCATCAAACTTCTGCAACACAAAACAACACACTGGTCTCAACCACAAAAACAGTAATCAATTACTTTTTTTTTTTATATACTGTACCTTAAAATATAATGTTGTGAAAGACATTTTCCTGGATGAGTTGGACATTTTCATCCAACAATTCATTGAACAGGATAGAAATAGATGTATACAAAAGAAAAACTTAAATAATGGAGTTTATATTAAAATGACTATTCACGGTATTCTAGGGTATTCATGACAAGTACACCAATATTTTCCAAGAGCAGCTATAACAGGTACAGAGCTTTAACATTTTGATTCAGCACAGAGGAAAGAAAGCAGAATTCAGACAGAAAAGCTGTCGTGTCCACAATCTGCTGAACAAATCATGTGAGTAATCTTAAGACATCCTGCATATACCCGAGGCTTTTATTCTTTTACCGCATTTTAACTCTTTAGTACCGTCTCTGTTGCTAACGCCTTCGTACACGAGTATAAAAAGGAAATTAACCACCCATAGGCAGTTTCTACTGTCTTTAACTGTCTTTGGTAAAAACTAGTTTTCCTCCGTTAAAGTTGCTTTTTCTCTGCATGCTTGGTAGGATATTGAAGTGATATAAAGCTGTCCCTGAGCTGTTTGCTACCTGTTAAAGAACCCCTTTACAGCGCAGGTTACTTAAAATTACCTCAGGAAGCCCACAAACACCTTTGTTGGCGTATGGCGACAGTCCAGCGGCATAATTCACAGACATGATTGCCTTTTTCTTTGCAGCTTAATTTTTCGTGAGAAGAACTGTTGTAGCTTTTGTCCGGTGTGTGTTTATTCCCCGGCGAGTTTAATATGAGCTGCTTTGTTTGAATGACGACATCATTAGGCGACGGAAAGTGCTGCATTTAAAAACACGGGAATTTGAACACTCAAGCTAGTTATTGCATTCGGGAATATTAGACACAGTTACAACGGTCAGAATAATGTGTTTATTCGCATGAGAAGATGTACAGATAGAACACATGCGTTTAATTGTCCATTAAAAGTTGTCTACCTGTAACAAACTAAGCCGCATCTTTTAATTCTCACTCACGATAGAAAAGGAGCATTTCTAAATAGTCATCAAAATAAAGCCACAAAATATTGCATATGAAGCTAGACCTAATGATAAAAAGGAAATTGGAAATGGTGCAATTATTAAAGGAAACAAAACCACAGCACATTTTTCTTTCAAATTCATCTTTATTTTCTCCGTTTTAAATAGCTGGAAAAAACAACCGGTGAATAAAACAATATTGTGATCATTCATACAGCAATGTGTGCATATTGATTACAGTTCTTGCAGAAGCTGTAAACCTACTCTGAAGACCACAAAAAAAGGAAATTATTCACTTGTGTCAATTCTTTCATCACGTGTAATTTTTTCCTGAGAAATTTAATATGATGTCCCAATTAAAGTAAATCAAACTACAATGATGTTTTGTAAAGAGACGTGACAAAAAAAAATTAAACACAAACAGGAGACCCACACACTAAAATAATATCAAAACTATTCCAGCCTAAATCAACATAAAGAAGAATAATGAAAAATAACACAACAGCCTTTTTTTTTCATTTTTACTCACAGTTCCGATAAACTTTGATCATCTTGTTTGTATGCCTACCAACACATGAGTCTTTTTTGCCGAACCTATTATCTCAATACATTAATCATTAAGTAAACAGTGCAGGCATAATGTCCAACGAAAAACAACAAAAATACTTAAGCATGAAAATAAAACCAAAGACAAGAGTATGACAAACATTAGTCTAACATTTTGGGCTTTCTTGTTACATACTGCTGCAGGTCTTTGGGTCCATTGGGCCTCTCAGGGAATGGCCTCAAGGACTAATACAATTCTGATCATCCGCTGGTGCCGTCTCCCTCCCCCTCGAATGTTTGGTCACCTTACACAACTCTTAAGCCTCAGCTACTTCATATAGCATGACCCCCACACTCGGAGCAACAGAGAAACACATCCAACAGTAGCTAGAAGAAACACAGCAAAGGTCAGCTTCATGTTAATAAAAATGTGTATGCGGGGAACTGACCCCATTCAGCCGGCCGGTCCTCAGGACGCACAAGGTCCTCCTCCTTCGTCATAAGTCTCTGTTATCACAGAACATGATGCAGGTAAACAGTAAAAGAGACCAAACACTTTTGAAGATGTTCTGGCATGCACAAGAACTTTGAAAACACCGTCACACGACGATACATTCAGGTCTTGTCCCGTCAAAACAAAACAAAAAAAAAAAAAACAAAGAAAGCACAGTTTGCTTGGATTCCTAAATCTTCCAGCAACTTCCGCAGTTACAATTAAAGAAACAAAGATATGCACAAGAGAGAGGCTGAGTGATGCTCCAGAGTTTGCACCAGTGCAAATATTTTCAGTGGAAGTGACACATGTCCCACCGTACGTTATTCTTAACATGGGATTTAACAACTGAAAGGACAATATGAGCATTTATTCGGTCCAAGTAAGGTTTTGGGTGATGATGAGGACTGCCAAAGAAAAAAAAAAGTGAATAACACCCCCCCCAAAAAAAAAAAAAAAACAAAACAAGGAAAAGAAGAAATTGGTGAATTTTGTGCTGGTGCAAAATCTTAAAACGTCTGACCTTACCATGGTGAGGCATCATTTTTTAAACCTCTGAAACAAACCAGAGGCTTGAGTTAAGAAAAAAAAAAAAAGAAGAAGCTCTTATTGGTTTAGAAGGGTGACGCCTCCAATCTTTCTTGGTTGTGAACCAAGAATATCTGGAAACCCGGGCAGAGGAAAGGGAGAGGCGTACGTTCAGTCTGAAAGAACGTCACGACTCCTCGTTCCCCGAGTCGTCTTCGTCGTAGCAGCAGTCGCCGTCCCCGCCCTCCATGTCATCGTCCTCGTCGTAGTAGGTGTCGTAGAACAGGTCGGAGCCTTCGTCTGGGGCAGGCGCCCGTGTGCGGACGCAGTACTCCGCTAGCGTGGTGGGCACCTTGACGCCGTCGCGCTCGGCCTCCGCCTTGGTGGCCGTCACCTGTTTCCTGAGGAAGAGGAGGCCACATCATGTTTGCGTGGATTGTGTAACAGTAGGTCAGAAAACAAGGTGGGAGGCCAAAAAAGAAGCGAAAAACATGAACATGAATGATCAAGTTTTAATTGCCTAACATGAAGGTAAATCACACCAGAGGCAGTAAATCACTGCTATGACTGAGGGTGCTGAACCTGATGAAGAGAAGCTCACGAGCTACAAGCATGGAGCTGGAATTGGTGGAAAAAAGAGAAGAGAAGCTGAGTGAGACGTCAAGGGTTTTGACCAGCTGAAGGACCAAGAAGCTGCTGGGTTTAGGCCAAAGGGAAGGCTATGCTTTATTACCATATTAATTCAAAAACTAACCTGTGCTTTTATTTTCCCCACAGTAACACAGAAAAGTTATTAAAAAGTGGAACTAGAGTTTGTAATATGTAACGGAAAAGTTACATTCAACACACTTCCGATCCCATTCTCCATTCGGTGAACTATATCTCCCAGTTTTGAAGGCGCTGTAATGAGCTTTCAGATCACTACAGCCAAGGGAAACTTATTCTACCAGCATTGCTGTTTGAGCCTCAGCCTTCATTTGGGGATAATCTGGACATGTGGTTTTGAAAAACAATATTGTGTGATTTATTTATTACCTGATGATCTCCACATATTCCCTGTCTTTGCCTTTGCTGTCCCTCCATTTGCGGTACATGACGGAGGCATCCACGTTAGCGGGAGAAAATGTGTTGGGTTCATTCAGCAGTGAAATCACACTCAGCAAAATGGTTCTGAGAGGAAAAAACACAAAGGAGAGCACAACGTCTAGTGGGACATGTTGCTATCAGTGCAATATGTTTTTCTCTTTTTTTACAGCCTGGCAAGAGGAGGAGGGAAGAGAGAGGAGAGAAATGCAGCCGCAGGCTGGGACAGGAATCTGGGCCACCTGCTTAGAGGAGCTTCAGGCTCTTCCCAAGGAGGAACCTGCCCAACCAGATCAGCCATCTTATGCCACTTTAAAAAGACACCAACTACATTAAATTAAAAAGCTAAGATTATAATGTCTGTTTTTTTCCCCATCTTTTCTATTTTACCACAGCTGAATGCATGATTACATTTGGTCCTCATCTACAGAGACTTCTGGAAGCCTCTGTGCTGCTGACTCAAAGCACGAAAAGAGACATTTGTATTGTGCTAGGGGAAGAAACTAATTAACATGTAAACACATGGGTCTGACTGACAATATAATAGACTGATTTTGGAGAAAGGAGAGACGCTGCTGCTTGGAGCTGTGCTGTCAGACATACTTGGATCAGTAAATCTACTTCCTGTCCTTGTTACTGGGAAAACGAAAAGAAGTTTATTAAACCAGACCAGGTGGGCTATAAGTTTAGCTCACCTTATGGTGCAGGTAACCATAGAGAAACAAACCGTTCCAGAAGCATTTCACTTCCTTCCAAAAGTCGTCTTTTTCTATGTTAAAGTCAGACACACACTTCCTCCGCTCAACGTGGATTGCACAGTAAGCTGTTGTGAGCTAGTCAGTTGGTTTATTACAATGGAGACGGAATATCTTGGCTGAGGAAACATTTGAATTTGGAGGCGGATTAAACAGTTCTGCACAGGAGCAGAGGCCAGGAGGTGGAACACAGCCACTGCTGTTAATGTTATCATTGCCCCTTCTACACTCAATGCTGTGTAGAGACGTTTTGATTAAATTGGAAGAGGATAAAGATTCTTGTGATTTAAATAAAAATAATTAGTATTTGATTCCTATAAGAACTTCTTTTGTGATTTTTTTTTCAAAATCATGGAAAAATATACGAATAAACTCACAGCACGTCAGAGAAATTTCTCCATAACACATATTTCTGGAAAACTTGAAAAGGTTAGTTTGTTTTACATTTGATCCAATTGTTTTTGGTGGGTTTAGTAGAAACTGACAAAAAAACGTATATGAACTGTGGAAAAGGACACCACCGACAATGAAAGTCATGTGATGAGTGTCTGAGCGGGGTGAATTATTTAAGTGGCTGACAGCGGACGAAGTAGGAAGGTAACCGGAAAATAGAGACATGCAAGAGGACACAAGGAGGAGGGAGATGCTGACCGGACATTCTGGGTCGGATTCCATCTCTCTGAAGGCAGCTCTCCACTCTGCGGGTCGTCCACTGGAGGATGCAATATAGAAATGCACACATCTCCATTCTAAAAGAGAGGAGACAAAATTCCTTCACCACAAAAGTTACTGAAACCATACACAGTGCAAACAGAAAGGCTTGTCATTGTGTCATTGTGTGTCCGGCTGTGATACAGAACCTCATAGATGTTGGGATGCCACATTTTGGAGAGGAAGCGGAAGGCAGGTGGGGAGTACGGGTAGTCTATGGGAAACTTCATGCGAGCCTAAGAGACAAAAAAAACCTCCACATGTGACTATGCCTGCTTTATTATAATATTGTTTCATTGCTTGAATATATTAATATATTCTGATCCATTTTCCTCATACCTTAAAATACCCGCCTTCATAATGAGTGTTTGGTGGCCCAAAAATGGCCACCTCCCAGTTGTATAAATCTGCTTCGTCCACCAGAGTTATTTTGAATCCCTCGACAGGCTCCTCTTGAAGGCTCTTCATTTCCAGCATCAGAGCTTTCTGTGAACTGGCGACATGAGATTGGTCGTGGTACGCCATATTAATCTGAGTAGCTTTCGAGGTAATTTGGAAGGGAAAGCTAACACGGCCAACTTCGCCCGACTACCCACACCGACAACTTCTTCGTGTTCAATGTCCACAAATAACGAAACAAAAGAGAGCCTTCCTGGTGCGCAAAAAACAAACAAACAAAGGTTGCGTAGATGTGTTCCCAAAGCCGATTAATTATTCATCAATGTCAACACTCAGAAAAGGTTCGACCGACCGAACCATTGTGCCTGACCAGAGCTTCTAGCTTTAGTTGATTTATCTGGGAATCCAGTCACGCATATAAGCCGTAAATCTACTGGTAGCTGCTGGCTAATGTAAGCTAGCTAACAAGCTCAGCCTCACCGACCAGCTGGAGCTGATGTCACTGCGCCGGGGACAAAATTAAAAAAGCAAAAACACAAGCTGTCATTTAAGGCTCTACCGAGAGATAAATCCAACACTAACAGGCAGAACTGTAGTTGGACACGTTCACACAGGAGAATGGTTAGGGAAGACTGTTGCTAAAAGGAGTCCCCAGTACTCTGAATACAGGCAATGGGGCGTGGTGTTGTATGGGATTTGTAGTCCTATGTCATATGTAAACATTAATAAATGAACAATTAAAGATGCATGTATTGACACATGAACTACATGAACTCCTTCACAGAAATATTATGTATATAATGTCAAACTAAATTAGAAAAAGAAATACACTAAACTTTGACAATTTATTATTGTTGTTTTGGATGCTCAATGCTTGGAACTACATATACCTTTACTTTGCGACTTAAATAGACGAACTTTTATTAATGTTGGGAAAAGTCTCTCTGATCTCTTATTCCTATCAGATTGTGTAATGTCTTCTGATTTGGCATGTCTGGCATCCAATTCCAAGATAAGCTTTTATCAGCTGCAATTTGCAGTTTATTTTCCTCAACCTGTGACGTTTATATTATGCGCCATCTTCACATTCAAAGCCGCCAAGAGGAGACTTTTAGCTGCCTGAGTAATTTATTTGAAAATGCAAAACTTTACGAAGTCTTTATTTTGTTGACACCAATGGAATAAAAAAATGTTTAGGATAATTATTTTACCAACATAATAATTAACGCTGAACCTCGAGGACCCATAACAGTCGTCGAAAGCGGTTTGTTGATACCTCTTATTTATGCGACACACTTCCGTTTAGACCCCAAACTGGCAGAAAGTCCGCCATGGGTTCGAAATCACGACGCAGGTCCCGATCTAAGTCCAGAAATCGAAGCCAGGATCGACGAAACAGGTCCAAATTGAGCAGGTCACGATCTCCGGAGGAAAGGAGAGGTCGCAGTCGGTCTCCGGACATTAAAAAACCCGTCCGTGACCGTGGAAGAGCGAGCACCAGAGACGATGGCTCTCCAGTCCGACGTCGGCCTCAACACAAAAACGATTCAGAGTCCAATAGCGGTTCAGAGAGCGAAAGAAGACATCGAATAATTCGCCAGAGGAGCAAGTCTAAGACTCCGTCGTCGAGGTAAGTGTACCGGTTTTAATTTATACTGAGTGTGTAAGATTATACAGCGATTTGTCAAGTTCGCATGCTAGAGTTCAAGAGTGGTCGGTAAACACGGTGTCTAAGGGTTTTAGGGATATAACTTTTAGATGTCTGCCTAAAACATTGATCAGATGACCTAAATGATGAATAATTATGCAATTAATAAGAGACATTTTAAGATGTGAAATCCTTCTCAGCACCTTACGAAACCTTTGTTTAATTTATTTGAATGATCTTTGATGTCGATATGTTTCACTCTATTGATGTTTTTTTTCTAGTCTTTATTGTTTAACGATAAATGACTTTTTAAATGATTTTTTTTTGTTTAATTTCCCCCTGCAACAATGTAAAATTAGTTTTTTTTTTGCCTCAGTCCTGATTCAGATCATTCCAAGATGAGAGGGAGGAAGAAGGAAATCGATAATCGTCGTGGAACGTCAAGAGAAAGGAGAAAGGAAAGGTCCCATTCCAGCTCTGACTCGCATGGAGGAAGTATGGAGAGAGAACGGAGAAGAGGAAGAAGAAACAGTCCCGACAGAGGGAGTCCAGCTAGAGACAGGCAGAGGAGGGAGCGGGAGAGAGGGGCAAGGCAGAGCAGCAGCCGAGACCGGGAGAGGAAAGGAGACGGAGAGGGTGAGCGGGAGAGGGAGAGGAACAAGAGAAGCAGAGACAGGACGGATGGGAATAGAAGGAGGGGCCGCCTCAGTTCGTCTGAGTCATCGGAGAGCTCAGGGTCTGATGGCGAGGGTGATATGGTGAAAGAAAAAGAGGACAAAAAGAAACAGAGGGAGATGATGAAAGCTTTGGAGACACCGGAGGAGAAGAGAGCCAGAAGGCTGGCCAAGAAGGAAGCCAAGGAGAAGAAAAGGAGAGAAAAGATGGGCTGGAGTGAGGAGTACATGGGATACACCAATGCAGACAACCCCTTTGGTGACAACAATCTTTTGGGCACATTCAAATGGCAGAAGGTGAGCTTCTTATCAAGTACCTTTGCACAGCGTGGCTTCAGCGGGTTTTGTTCTTCCCGTGTGTGATTCCTTTGCTCTGTTCTGTATTTTCAGGCGCTGGATAAAAAAGGCATCGGCCATCTTGGAGAAAAGGACCTCAAAGAGAGGAACAAATGTATTCAGGAGGAGAACCGCCGAGAGCTGCAGAAGGTGAAACAGCTGCGTTTGGAGCGGGAACGAGAGAAAGCCATGAGGGAGACGGAGTTGGAAATGCTGCAGAGAGAGAAAGAGGCGGAGCACTTCAAGACCTGGGCGGAACAGGAGGACAACTTCCATCTACAGCAGGCCAAACTGAGGTTGTTTGAGCCGACATCGGTCGCCGACCTAACAGGACTGACGAGTGTTCACTGAGTGTGTTAATCCATACGCTGTATGTTTAGGTCAAAGATCAGAATTCGAGACGGTCGCGCCAAGCCCATTGACCTTTTGGCGAAGTACATCAGTGCTGAGGACGACGATTTGGCTGTGGAGATGCACGAACCCTACACTTTCCTCAATGGACTGACTGTCACCGACATGGACGATCTGCTAGAGGACATAAAGGTTTTTAGTAGCTCTTGTATCAGGGAATAAAGTGCACAATCACGACTGGGGCCGGACCTCTTTGACCAGAGTTGTCTTTGTACTTGAAGGCATGTCATAAGAACAGTTCACTATTAAGGTTCAAAGTATTTTTTTTAATTATCTTCTTTGATCTCAGGTAATATGACCACAAATACAAACATTGGGCTGTGATTAGTTCTCTGATCAGCCATTACAGCAGAATGAGAGCGGTCAGACGGTTTTTATTGTCATTTACTTATTTGTTTATGCAAATGATCTCTCGCTGCTCTCCATCTGCCACTTTTAAAATGAGCCTTGACTGTCCTAAAGGTGTACATGGAGCTGGAGCAGGGCAAAAATGTGGACTTCTGGCGGGACATGACGACCATCACAGAGGACGAGATCAGCAAACTGAGAAAACTGGAGGCCTCTGGGAAAGGACCAGGTACAGTCATTTGTCTGCATCCTCAGTCAGCCCTTCTGATGTGCTCTCATTTACAGAAACTATCATTAAAAGTTTACACCAAAGAATTAATTTCCTCTAGAGACCTTTAGTCGAAAAAAGCAATTTCAGAAATGTTTGATAGCTGTGATGCATTCTTATATATATGTGATGTCCATTTATGTCAAGTCCAACTTGAGTATGTTGTGTTAAACTATAGCAACAAAAAATATGTTGCATACCTTTAGGGACAGGGTCCACATTAAGCTCACTGTGTTTGATTTCCATCCCCAGGCGATCGCCGTGAGGGCATCAACACGGCCGTGAGCACCGACGTTCAGTCCGTGTTCAAAGGCAAAACGTACAGCCAGCTGCAGGCGCTGCACCTCAACATCGAGGGCAAGATCCGCGCCGGGGGGTCCAACCTTGACATCGGTTACTGGGAGAGCCTCCTGCAGCAAGTCAGGGTCTACCTGGCCAGAGCTAGGTGAGAAATACAGACTCGGCGAGGCTTCAGAGAGTCGTGGCGTGAGCGGCGAGCTGAAAGCTGAATCTCCGCAGGTTGAGAGAGCGCCACCAGGACGTGCTGCGCCAGAAGCTGTTCAAGCTGAAACAGGAACAGGGGGTGGAGAGCGAGCCATTGTTCCCCATCATCAAGGAGGAGCCGAGAAGCGAGGAAGACGGGTAAGTCGCATGTGACCCGAAATCAGACAAACAAGAGACGGAAAGCGTCACTTTCTCTCCCTCCCCGTCCCGGCAGGATAAGGACCAGAGAGACGGAGGAGGAGGAAGAGGCGGGCCCGTCTACATCCGCAGCAGCAGGAGGCCCAGACGAGGACGGAGGAGAGAAGGGCGAAGGGAAGGAGGATGAGGAAGGGAAGGACGAGGCGGCGGAGGCGGTCTTGACCGAGGAGGATCTCATCCAGCAGAGCCAGGCGGAGTACGACTCGGGCCGCTACAGTCCAGCGCTGCTCACGTCCTCCGAGCTCCCGCTGGACACTCACACCATCACCCCGGAGGAGGACGCGCACCGGCTGCAGTTAGCCCGCCAGCAGCTGCAAGTAACCGGTACGAAGCACACGTTAAACGCAACGGCTTTAACTCATTGACTGCCAAAGACGTCTATAGACGTATTTTATGTTTTTCAACAAGAGTGGCTTGGGGGACGATCTGCTAAAGCTTGTCCGTAAATATCGGCTTCTAGACAGAGTATGTACTAACAAATTGACCCTCTAAGTGGCAGTGCCACTTTTGATGGGAGATGAGCATAAACTGTAGGCAAATAAGAAAAAGGTAACGGTTCGCTATGAGAGAACATGTCGCCGGTGAGACGCAAGTCGAGGAACAACGGAATAAGGGAGAAACAAAACATTTTTCCTGATGAAAGAAAAGAGTCTACTCTTTCTTTTGGTGTGTTCGGTGTTTACATAGTCATAGCACAAACTATTCTGTGGCTCTTGAAAAATCAGTCAAAATGCTCAAAAACTCTGGCAGTATGGGACTCTCCGTTCTGAAAATGGCTGGCATTCATGAGTTAAGAGGGGGGGGATTGTCAATTTAACCAGCGTTGAAAGTAAAAAAGCTTCAGAGGCTTGATCATGCCACTCAAGATGTCCGTTTGCTAACCTCTTTTTCTCCGGCAGGTGACGCCAACGAGAGTGCGGAAGACGCCTTCGTGCGGCGAGCCAAACAGGGGATGGGCAACGAGGAAGCCCAGTTCAGCGTGGAGTTCCCGCTCACGGGGAAAATGTACCTGTGGGCGGACAAATACCGCCCCAGGAAGCCCCGCTTCTTCAACAGGGTCCACACGGGCTTCGAGTGGAACAAATACAACCAGACGCATTACGACTTCGATAACCCTCCGCCGAAGATCGTCCAGGGCTACAAGTTCAACATCTTCTACCCGGACCTGATCGACAAGCGCTCCACCCCGCAGTACTTCCTGGAGCCCAGCCCGGACAACAAGGACTTTGGGATTTTGAGGTTCCACGCCGGTCCACCGTACGAGGACATCGCTTTTAAGATAGTGAACAGGGAGTGGGAGTACTCGCACCGGCATGGCTTCCGCTGTCAGTTTGCCAACGGGATCTTCCAGCTGTGGTTCCACTTTAAGAGGTATCGCTACAGAAGGTGAAGGGTGCAGGCCAGCAGGGCCCCAAGCCTCAGGGACCGGGTCTTACGCATTCGTTTCTATATTATTTACATTGTAGTAACTGCACTTTGAGATAGCCTTTTAGCTGGTTTTTATTTCAAATAAACAGAGCTAAAGCTATACTCAAAGCCCAATCAGTGCTGTCTGAAAAAGTCCATTGTAATTGTATTTTGCAGTGACATATTAAAGTTTTTTTTTTTGTAACGCTTCTGTTGTCAAGTTTTACATGAAAAATACATCAACTTTGTAGGTTTCAAAAGCCTGAGCTCACACATGTAGGCATGAAAATGATGCAGCACCTAAACTGTCAGCATTCTTGGCAAAAAAATAAATAAAATCAGACACCAAAGTTTTTTTTTTTTTTTTCACTTTGAAAAAGTTTTAATGATACAAAAAACACATAAGAAATTGGTAAGTTAGAAGTTTTGTGCCTTTCAAAATCGTACAAATCTTTACAAGAAATCTCAAACTGCAATGAACGTGGGACTATAAAATAAATTTCAAACATTCAGGAAAAACAAACGAGTCAGACGTAGTTTTGTACAGAGGCTAAATCTTTCAACCACCTGGAATGTCATCGTGCACAAACTTGCTGCACAGCACCTCGTGAATTGGGATTCCAGTTCATAATGAACTCATATCCAAGAGGCATAAAATCGGAGTCTTTACTCTTGGAACAGAAACAAGCCTTGTTTGGTCACACTGGAAAAATGTGGGCTCCCTGAGTGATCTGACCTCTTAGAAAACAGTTTGAAAAAAGGGTATGACTAATTAGTTCATGGGAGTTGTTCTCTAATTGTTTTTATGGAAGCCTAGCACATGCAATCATTAAAGCTTTACAAATCTCTACATGTATTGGGATGGAATTATACTGTTTTATTGGGGCAAGAAAAAAAGAAAGACCATCTTATATTTCAATCCAAAATCCTAAAACGACTAAAAATGAAAAATGGTTGGCCTTCACAGTCCTCCATCCTAAAATTAGAACAATCTGGACAGACTGAAATAAAAGGTTAAAAAAAATTAATTAGAATCAGGAAGCTGAGATAAACTATATGCAAGCGCTAAGTGCTCAGACTTTTTTCGGGGCTCGTGTTTTTTTCCCCGTTCGTCGAAGAGGAAATAAAAAAGCTGCAGTGCCGATCACTGAAATATATATATTTTTAAATTCACGCCTTTTGAAAACCGGCTCATTTTCTACCCACTGAGGTATTCACAGTAACAAAAGCCAAAAAAAGGCTGTGCTTTTCCATTCTGAGGCCCTTTGCCATTTTCAAATTTCTGACTCGTCGTCAATGAACTGCATAGTTGGCAGGTTGGCTTTGGGAGCATTGGTCTCCTGTGCGCCCCCGTCGGTGGTGTGGTTGTTGTTGCTGCCGCTGTTGTGCTGTGCGCTGGAGACCAGGGGCTTGTCCTCTGCAGACCTCTGAGCGTTTTGGTAAGCAACACTGGAGTTCAGAGTCTCGTGGTCGTGGGGCTGTTGGGGCTGCTCTCCACTCCTTTTCACGCAGTTCCAGGGCAGAGGAAGGTGGCCTCTGTAAAAGTTCCAGGCCAGGAGGGCGAGAAGAGCAACGGCTAGCAGGACAAGCACAGCCTGCAGAGCAGCCACAGATGGGCCTTTGGTCTGAGGCTGAGGAGGAAATATCACGGTTTTTTTGCCATCTTCTGAACCTATGCTGACCTGGTACTGGGCCACAGTGGTTTTGTATTCGTGAGCTTTGGTGCGCTCCACAGACAAGCAGCGGTAGAGACCAGCATCGCGGCGGGATGCATTGCGGATAAGCAGGCCGTCTCTGAGCCGCTGCAGAGGAGCCGCAGGTTCCAGGGTGCGGTTGTCCCGCTCCCAGATTATTTCTGCCAGGTTTGAGGACGAAAGGCAACTCAGTTTCAGGGTATCCCCTGGCCAGATGTGTCTACTCATAGGCTGGACGGGGTCTGAAACCAAAGCAAAGGCCAACTTACATGCGTTTGTTTCAACAACGCCCAACAAGAGCAGAGAAGAATTTTGCAAAACTTGTTTCTTTGTCTTTGTTTTTATACTAACTCACCAGCTGCAGGGCACAGAGAAGCGTCCCCTTCTTTCACACTCTGGATTAGCTTTCTGTAGAAAATACAAAATCTGAGTTTAGCTCACTGGATCCATGTGGCCATCAGCACTGCTGGCTCCACTTGAGAAGACCTACCTCTGGGAACTGGAAAGGGCGACGCATTTCCCCTCAGTGGTGTCCCAGCCACAGTACGGATCTCTGGCCAGAACGCAGTCCCTGCAGGACAAGGACCTCTCACAGGTGGCACGTGGTATCTGTGCTGCTCCACAGTTTGAACCAGCATAAAGATGGCCCTGCGAGGAAAACATAGATGGTGATTTTTCCAGACTCACTTATAATTATGAGGGCCAAAAAAAACAACACAACTACAAAAAAAAGAACAATCTAGTGATCTGAAATTACCGTGACATTGGACAGTTTAAGAATCGTGATGGGCTCTGGAGTTTTGAAAAGCTCCACTTCCTCTATGATGAACATCTCTCCATCGAAGTTCACAGCTCTCAATAGCGTGCCTTGCTCTTTTTGGATCAAAACAGCTCATCATTCTTAACGTGCTCACAAATTCAGTTCAAGGCTTCAAAAATAATAATAGCTAGAGTTGTGTTGCATTGGTAAAACGCACAACATGCCTACACGTACACACCTGTGCCTATAAACATGACATGGTGCTTTTCTCCGTCTGCTGCCTGCACCTCATCCACTACGATGCGAGTGAATGGCGCTCCCTTGCGGATCAGAACAGGCTGGTCTCGTATTGGCTCAATAGACTGTTCCATGAGGGGCCTGTCTTTGATAAACTGCAGGGTCCAGTCTGGAAGGTCCAGAGTCCGATGTATGTCATCTTTGCGAGCCTCGTCGTTTATGCACTTTCAAAGAGAAAAGTGAAGAAAAGCGAAGGAAGGGAGAGGGTCAAGGGCGAAAAAGGAACCGGTTTCCTGCTGAGCCACTAGTGGCTAGTTGATGTCATAGGTGATGACATTCTCCTCTGATGCTCATACACACACACACGACAAGCTGAATGTTAGGAGGACTCACGGCTCCGGGTCGAGGGTGAGGTACTTCGCCGCTGTACATCACCCACTTGACAAAAGAAGTGGCTACGATGACTGGGCTCTTGTACTTCCCCTCCTTAAAGACTTTGCTGATGTCGGACACGCGATACGCACACACTGCAGACAGGTCCGATGTGTCTCTGCAGCGCGCACACACACACACACAGCAGTTAGAGAGAAATTAACTCCCTTCCCTCCAACGCAAACATGTTTGATGGCCCAAACGTACGCCTGTGGAGTGAAGATGGCGTAGAAAATGCAGTCCTCCCAGTTCTGGGAGTCGCACCAGCGGTACGAATCCTGTATGAGGAACGGCAGGTGGGAGTCAAGCACCGGGCAGTGTATTCTTGTTTTCAGGAAGGACGTCCACTTCTTCTGCAGAGTCCTCTGACCTCCAAGATCTCCCTGTGGGCACACAAAGATGCCATGGTGTCACGAGGACAAAGACAACAGCTTTGACGGATGGCCTGCACAATCGGGCAGCGGATGTGGGGGAATGGGAGCAGCAGAGGAAACACTTTCCATCCGTCCTTGGGAGTGAATGCGCGGTTGGCTCTTTGTTACCTTGCAGACGCGGGCCACACGGGACACGGCCAGTTTGCTGTAGCAGTCATACTCCACAGCGGTCTCACTGAAGAACAGGTATACTTTGTCATCATCCCCATCTTTGCTCTGCCAACTCTCTGACATCTGAGCCATGGAAACAAAGTTGGGCTCTAGGTTGCAAAAGGGAAGAGGGATGAGAAGCAGCTCATGTCAGACAAACGGCACAGAGTGTGAAGCTGTTGCAGGAAAAACCCGCTCCACGGAACCTCATCTCACCATTGAGCCAGGAGGTTTTAAACTCGGTGCGTATGGACCCCGGAGAGCTGCGCATCAGTACAGGCTCAGAGCCCAGGAAATTCATAGAAGTAGCTGAGTAGAGGGAATCATCTGGTGGCACAAGAGAACATGACATGAAAACCTCAAAGTTTTAAAGCTTTTTTTCCCCACAGGTGTCTCTCTTTCTGCATTGTTACAACTCACCAACCATGATGGAGGCATATCTCTGGAACGGATCAAAGGGACACTTTCCTTTGCCATCCTCTGCAGTCCCTTCAAAAGTCAGCTTTCCATCTGTGTAAGACTTCCCCATCGAACCCAATTTTTAAAAAAATCCCAGGTTTATTCAGTATGATGACAGTACAGCAGTGTAGGAATTAGTTCAGAATTATTCTCACCAAATAGTCGCATTCTGGATCGAAAGCATTTGTTCCACACACATAAATCTTGCCGTTGTTCATCTTATGTAGGATTCTGATGTAATTCTTGCATTCTGTCTGTAAATGCATTGAAAAAAAACAACATCAATCCATTTATTGCTGTGCTAGACAGAAAAAAAGCAAAAGCAAGTTAAAGCGAAAACAACCAACCTCTGGATCCTTTCCTTTGTTCTGACAGTCCCTCACCTGCTCCTCGGACACTTTCCAATCAACCTGAAAGGATGAACCATCAATGTTGGACTTTTAATAACGTTTAACAAATATTTGAATTCCGATTTTGAGAAGGAAATCATTACCAGTAAACAACTTAGTTCTGAATTCAACTTAATGGTCAACCGCATCTGCAACCGCCTTGCAAACGTATCTGATTTACAGGTTTAATCATTTAAAACCTGTGGCTGGGTCTGAGTATGTGCGGAACATGTGCATACCAACAGTTCTTCCTTCCTCAAAAAGCATTCTTGCTAAATTGTTTGCCTGTCTGCTTTGTTTGTAATTTGGTTTCAACATTTAATAACAAAAAAAGTTATTTAGAGAGAATTTCGCCAAATTGCAAGGTCACATCAGTGAGATTCTAATAAAAAACAGACATGTGAAGTACTGTCTCTGTGTGTGTGTGTGTGTGTGTGTGTGCGGATTTCAACAATAATTCTAAAGAAATGTTGACAGAACTGGATGCAAGACATTTTTCTGGAGTCTGAATAATGTGAGGCACATTTGTTACGCGGATGTGAACCTCACAAACCCAGGAACCCTTAATTGCTGCCTGAGAGGCTTTTTTCAGAGCAAAACAAAAGATCATTTGAGCGCTGTACCCTTGAGCCAATAGAGCTTTTATGAGAATTTAAAAAAGGATGAGGACCGCAGTTGACCTGTATTGATCAAAAACAGCTTTGTTAACAAAGATGTTCTTACTGAGGCCATTTCCATGGAGATGTCCATGATGTCAAGGGCGAACACTGCTTCTCTGGCCCCCAGAATCAGCAAGCCGAGGTCTTCTCTCAACAACAAGGTAGAGTAGTTGAACACACCCTCCTTGTGAAACAGAACAGAGTTGTCCCCTGTAGACAACAAAAAAAAAAGAAAAAGAAAAAAGGGCTCGGGTTTAACCACTAATGATTAAACTGTGTTTCCCAATGAGTGTCTCAAAAATATGAGTCAATATGAGCTGACACAAAATAAGCCAATGTTACCCAAGAAAAGGAGAACTCACTATGATAGGGTACGTATCTGCGTGGCACACAGCCCGGCGGCGAGTCTTCCCCAAGCGATGAGGCCAGGGCCAGCAGCCAAAAAGCACTGAGGGATAGCAGCGGATGCATGGCTTCTTTGTTCAATCTAAGAGGAATTTATGCTTTATTGTTTCCCCAAACAGTCAGTCATACAGAGAGAGAGACAGCAAGGGGCATCTATGACGTGATGAGCTCTGTTCTGTCTGTGGGGCACTGGCCCCTTCACTGGCCCCGCTCAGCAGGCTGTCCATGGTGAGATGGATGGCACGGAGGGAAGAAACAAAGCCAACGAGGGCTGAAAGACACAAGTTGTATGGATATGGACATTAATACAGAGCAGAGAGGGTTGGTCTGAAACAGATACGGCAAAAGACCAAAGAGAGGAGGCTGCGGGCAGAAACACTTGCAGTGATCGAAAATTAATTAGAAGGCAATCCATTGTAGTAGTTTTTTTTTTTATTATAAAAAAGGTGAAGGAAGAGCCAAAAAGGGTAGAGTGAGCTAAAGTCAGCAAAGCAGTAATTCTGTCAGTGCCATAGTGATGTTAATGCAGGGCCATGAAAGGCATTCAGCAGGGTGCAGGGATGTCAGCTTCAGCTTTCCTGCAGCACTAAACTCCAACACAAAGAGAGATTTACAGAGAGCTGAACTCTGGTGTAGATCAGAGGGAGCTGCTGCACCATATTTGTTGCTTGTTTGAGCGGTTTCGTGCAGGAAACACGCAGTTGCAACAGCACAAGCATCGAAAAAAAAGACATGGGGCTGCAGCTGCTTTCATCACTTTGCAGTGACAGCACCGTTTTTTTTTGTCAGTAGATGTACAACAGCAACCGGACGAGAGGGCGTGCGCTGAGATTGTAGTGGGGTATGGCAGATGAGCCGGGGCATGTCAGAGAATGCGGGCCTGATAAGACCGTTCACATATTTGTACCTGAGGCTGAAGGAGCTTCACTCAGCGTCGGGATTCTACAGACACACCCGCGCGAATTTATGCGCTTAAAAAACTGTCAAGAAAAGACTAAGAAGTGAGAAAAGAGGGTTTGTGTCGCCCAACAACTCACCTTCCTTCCGCGAGCGCGCGCGCGACTGCTAAAACATCTTCGGTTTAATATAGCAATTAACTTAATTTCCCCAAAATAATGACATGCCGAGTTACAAGTGAATCAAAGCGGCTCCCAACCCACACAACCGCAGCAGTAAACATCAGAAAAACGAAGCAGTGGAGTAGTTTTGAAAGATTTGCTGTAAAAGTTGAGGTTTTAATGCACATTAAAGCTGCACATTAAAGCTGCACGTGAGAGTGAACTTGTTTAGCTAACCGTCAAATCACTCCGAGCACAAATTAGTGACTTACCTGTCACCGACACGCCCAAGAACGCAGAATTGTCTTGTTAAAATAAAATGCCTTAAGCACCTGTTTGGGAAGAAGTTTTTTTCTTTACGAGCCTCAAACAATTTGGAAGCAAACTGTTTAGAAACGTCGAACAGGTAAAAAAGAATCACAAACAAATGGCGTCTAAAACGTAAGATGTGAAATGTGGAACAGAGTACAAACCTCCGGTTTCCTCTTAAGTGGTCACTCCCACGTAACACTTCTCCTTTTACGACAATAGGAAGAGGAAAAAAAGGTGCTTTGTGGCGGCACAGGGGCCGGTGCTTTTCTCTGTCCTCCTGAGGAGCCTCTTGTCTCTCACATCCCGCCGCGGAGGGGATCTGGGGGGCTAGCAGCTCCTGCTCCGGCTGGCCGCGCAGGTCTTTTTCGTGTGTCTTTTTTTTACGTGTTACCCCCTTCCAGCTGCCCGTGAGACGTCGTAAGGCAATGAACTCTGATCTGAACAGTCTTCTTCTTTTTTTTTTTGTTAACTTCTTCTGTCTCGGCACGTTGGAGAGAACATATGAATCTAGATGGGTGATGTAAGAGACCCAACAGCCGGAGGGTACAACCAAGGCAAGATGTCCCAAAAGGTGGAGGGAACAGACCTAACCTAGTGGCGTGTAGGGGCGTTGTTTGCGCTGCTCTTTGATTTAGGAATCTACCGTGAGCGTTTAACTGAGCTACTTGGTGTTGCAATTAATATTTTTGCTTAATAGACACAGATTGGACCGATACAAGCCCTGTTATTCTCAGGACAAAGTAGGTGCAAGTTTGACCTCATTCAAAATTGACAATTTATATAAAAAGTAATAAATAGAAGGTTCAAATTCAGTACGTATTAAATGATTTACTTTTAAATACATTTTTTATGAAATAATACAAAGAACATTTTTTACTTTTATTTTCATCTAAGTTTCAAAGACTGGTAAAGTATAGTAACACTGAAAAGAAACGACAGGTCAGTGACACTAATATTTTAAAGAGAACAGTAAAAACAAAGCATCCAAGAATGAGTTTTTACTATGCAAAGAAGAGGAACTCAGTGAACTCCAAACTATTGTAATAAGGATAATTTGGTATTTGATTATAAACATTAAATAACCTGTTTAAAATGTATAGAGAACACTTAGTCGTATGGAGTAGGAATGAGAACAGTTGGGCCCTCTAGGGCAGGCAAATACAGGCAGTGTCATACCTGTAAATCACGGCCAGAATTCTGAAATTCTTTTCCTAAAACACACTTTAACGCAGTGTGTCCAACGATCAACAATAAGGTGAAAAGCACACAAGCAACTATCGTCCATTCTAATAAGGTCTTTGGGCTGATTGCAAAGTTGCTGAAACAAAGTCAAAAGGTGCCCAATTGTCTGATTGAGTAAAATATGAAAACTGGAAATTCTTTTTTTCTCTCAGTCCAAAATAACAAAGTGACAGATGAGCCATCTGGACAAAAGTCAGCATCTGTGAATGGAATGGGGTAATGTACATATCAGTGTCCTTAACACAGATGCTGCACCGTATAAGCAGTTTTTGGAGCAACAAGTCCATGATACAGCTGACAGGAAGTTAGTGGATTTTTTTGGCGTAATTTTGAAAAACTGCACCAAACTTCTTTGAGTGAGTGGTGTTACTCTTTTGTAAAGGAGTTCAAGGGCCAAAATATTATGACAGCAGTTCAGAAAAGTTCCCGAGTTGCACCATCCGTTTTGTCATTAAACAAAAACACGACCAGCTAGCTGACAAACTCTTCACTTATATCATTCTTAAATTTATTAGTAATATAGCATTCCGTGAAAGGACCATATTGCTGTAGTATGAGTACATGTGGGTGTGGATTATCGTTCCAGACCAATACTTTTTTTTTAAATTGGCCAGACTTTTAGAAACTTCATATACAGTAGAAAAAGATGTGTGGTTGAACCTTTCAGACCTTGGCATGAAAAGATTGCCGTGGTGCTTTACAGCTTGGCAAAAACTTTGCCAACAATCTCATACAACTCATGGGCCGTTAATACAGATGGACTTTCTTTGAAGACAACATGGACAGAACCTGACAGCCAGTGGTTTAGCATCTGGATTGCAGAGAAACTGTTTTGTTGTAACATGTTTCGACTTACACCATCTGTGTTTAACGGCACTGAAATCCTCCCTCTTGCAACGTTACCAGTCCATCTGCCCACATAACCGTAGAGAGGTGTTAACATTATTCCTGCAGCTTTGTCTGGGTGAAAATCATAATAATGCTTTCAGGATATTCCCACAGCATCCTTTTCAGGGATCCAAGCTCATCCATGTCCTCAGTCAGCGAGCTTACATTTCCCATCATGATCAAAGAGAGAAATGGTTTTAAATTTGTCCTCCTCCCCCTCTGCTTTGTTTCTTCCCTTCTTCTGAAATCCAACACATTACGCAACCTTTCCATTTAACAGAAAGCACAGGAATCTGTGCCCGTCTCTTATGAATAATCAAGCTCTTGACTCACAAAAATGAATCCATGCAAAAGAATTTAATGCCCCCCCCTCCCAATCTATAAAACACTACTCTTTGATAGTGATCAAGAAGACACAACACATTTTGTACAAACATTCAATAAATTGCTCATTGTAAGAAGACACTTATGAGTCATTTGTTCACAGTTTGAAGGAATATGCCAAACGACAAGTGCAGGAGAAATATTTGTTAGAGCACATACTGATCTGTAAATCATTACATTGTAATAAAACCACAAATTAGGTCAAGTCAACCACATAAAAAAAAAGCCTCATCTGATTCTTATGCTCCGAAGAGAGTTTGCTGATGAAATTCACATTGCTATTCCACTAGAGGGCACCTTCACATACAAATACAGCAGAGTTGTTCTCATGAAAAAGATCACAAATCACCCCGATTTTTCAGGCTCTTATGGTTTGGGGTGAGTAAAAGCACCACACAATAGCACAAGTAAACACTTCAAAAATATGCACCAAGTGTACAGTGAAAACCGAGTGTTAAATAAACAACGTCAGCACCCCTTGAATTAACAGTTCATTAAGAGTTGCCAAGCAATAACAAATATCTCTCAGAGCTGCAGGCAGAGATTAAGCATATTTCTGTCTCTGCTTCCTTTTGTTCAGACTTTCCCCCCCCCTGTAGTTATCTTATAAGTATTGGGATGGATGAGGAGAATGTTTGAGGAGAAACCAGAGCTTTCCCTGATTATTTTTACTTTCAGGGCAGATAAAGCGTCTCAGGTGAGAGTCGGCTGCTCTGGTGTTGATCTTGGCATTTGGCAGTCGGTTTGTTCATATAGTCTCCGGTGTTGAAACACAAACATAAGCAGCTAACCACCCAGAGAGAGGCTCACAAAGGAAAACGTTGTTTCTCGGCTGGTGGTCCTTTGTGTGCGGGTGTTTCTCTGATGGGTTTGAGTAGTCACTTATGAGGATTTCTAGTTTATGCTGGCTGGATTTTGTTGTGGCACTGTAATTGTTTGGTGGCAGTTTGTAAACAGCTTTGTGGAAGTGGGAAAAGCACCGGTGTCGTCATTTAAACAAAGCAGGCACCATTTTTTATGAAACTGCGTGAATTGCATGAGTTACCAAATCTCTCTAGCTCTTGAGGAGCCAATCAGAGTCAATAAATCCACATCAAGTCCAACAAATAATACTGGTACAAAAAAGGAAAGCAGAACACCTTTTACATTGCTAGGAGAGAGTGGTGTTTTTTTGGATTTGCTTGTTTTCCACCTAGAAGGCACAGGATGGGAACAAACTGAAGCTGTGGTGTGTAGAGGTTTGGTGCAGGGACTGAGGACGCTTCTACAAATCACTCCTGACTGGCTCGTCTCCTCTCCAGGGTCATTCTGAGTTCCTCATTCAGGCCTGTGGACGGAGATGAGAAATGCTGTATTCTACTAACTAACTAGCTAGGGAAGGACGGCTGCAGATGAGGGGGAAACCTCACTCACTTTGTGTGAGAGGAGAGGGGGAGTGGATCAGTCTCCTCATGGGGTTGGTGGGCGAGGCCGGCACTGATGAGGTCAGGACGCGGCGGTCAGGGACGGGAGATCTGGACACAGGGCTGCTGCACCATCGATCTGAGAGTGAATAAAAGCGGCGGTTATTTCTGCTGCACGGCTTCGTTCTGTGCGGTTTACGGAACTGTGACCTACCTTGTTTGGGAGGTAGAGCGGGGGCTTTGGGTATGGGACTAGAGGGGGCAGTGTGGAGGATCCTTTCCCCATTTTCATCGTTAGCAGAAACATACGCTGACAACACAAACAGACTCAATAGGGTTAGACTCACAGATGACTTCTAAGTCCTTAAAAAGGCCCATAGAGAAACAAGAATAAAGTGGGATATTTGTGTTTCCTCACTGATATTTTCCTCATAAGGCTCCTCCAGTAGGAAAGGCTGAAGAGTGCCTGCAGTCTTTTCTACCAAGGCATCAATGACCTCGTGTAGTGTAGCACAGGGAATCTGGAAAATTAAGATTTATTCATCTTAGGCCTGATTTTGATGGTGTAATGGGTCACAATGCTCAGATTTGTAATAAGCATGTCACACTTATTTTTTTATAAATATATTTTGGGGAAAACAATCCAAACCCATAACAGAAGATACAGTATATATGTGCGTATGTAAATATATGGAAATATATACAAATACATTAAAATATTTCAGTGTATACCTTTAAAAAAACAGTAAGTATCTAATATTTGACTTCCTCTACCCAAACGTTTATTAAAAAATGGTGAATAACTGCATCTACTGTATATTACACTTACAGGATTTTCCACGTCAATGACGTAGCCACCTTGGTCCCTCTGAGTGACTCTGTAGTGTCTGAACACTGACCTGAAGGCAAAAGGAGAAGCAAACACCTTTTTAAAGCACCTTTTGACACAGCAGTGGGACAATATTCAGCAGGTGTTTACCCATTGAGGTCTTGTCTGGTGGTAACAGCCAGAGAGCAACCATCTCTGCCTGGACGGAGCAACATGTTGCCACAGTCTGGGTGTCTTTCTAAAAGGACCTCGGCCTCTGTTCGGGACACCGGACGAAAACATCTGTGGGTCAGACACACCAAATCTTACTTCTGGGGTACTAATAGTGCTGTAGTGGGTCTTCTCACTGTAGCTAAGGCTCTGAACTCACGCCGGGATCTCTCCCACTAAAGGAACAGACAGAGGAGATGGAGGTGCTCGTGAAGGGTTGCGACTTCTCCGTCTAGACCTCTCTTTGGTCACCACCTCCCTTAGCATCTGAAGCTGTCCGGGCAGCAGAGTGAGAGAGGATGGCACATCGAGCTGTGACAGGAAAAGAAAATATTTGTGAGAAAGCGTGAGAGATAGATTGGCTGGTTCAAGGACGCAGGTGCAGCCGAGACTGCATTGAAGGCTGATATTCACATCGATGACAGAGTAGAGGAAACCTTTCCACAGCTCCCGGGTTTCTAAGTTTGGTGCCTAGAAGAGACAGCGATATTTTAAACTTTGGTAAGGATGCTTTAAATGTAATGCGTTTGCCATTTAACGAGTGAACAGAGCAGCATACTGTGAGTCTGGTCTCTCCATCCTTCATGCGGAGGATGAGTCTGGCTGCTTCCAGGTTTCTATCCCTGCTGCAGTCATCCTTCAGGGACACGAACCCACCGAGGTCCAGCTTCTCCACGTACTGTCGCACACACAAATATATTTCCGTGTCAGCACGCGTCAGCGCGCAAAGACACAAACGAGAACACACACGATCAGAGACTTACACTTGTGTCCTTGGCGTTGCTGAAGAAATACAGAGAATTTCCACAAAGACACGTCCACAGCCGCCTGGATGCCTATGGGACACATACGGAGAAAGACATCAGTAAACACAGGCCTGCTGGTGTAACAGCAGGGCTGTATTCCCATATCTGTGTAATGGATATTTCCCCCTTTCAATCACACCCACGTTTCCCTGTCCCAAGAGATGCCAGTGAGCCTCAGCTGCTGTCAGTCTGGGACCACAGAGCACTGCAACGCTGCACCTGAGCCGGGCTCATATCATGTGTCTGTGTGGCATTCAAATAAGCCTAATGGGTGTGCCCCAGGGGGAAGAGTGCTCCAGCCTTTATCACATCAGGGAGAGAAGTCAACCAAAAATCACGATCTTAAACGGTGGAAATTATTTCCAAGCATGGCAACTCCTAATATTGGCAATTTTGAGGGGAAAAAATATCAAGGACCATCGGGATAATATGTCAAAGGGGCATATCTCTGAGTGTGCATTGCATGCTGATTGAAGGAAATATCTGGTGGGATTATTTTTCGACTGCGTGTCATGAGATACAATCCCTAATCAGACGTGGCTGAAATGACACGCAGCGTTTTGACATCAGTCAGGGATCCAGGATTCAAAGGCTGTGATGTGATCAGCCCATAAATAGCCGCACGTGCTGCCCGTCAGAATCCTAACCGCATTGATAACGAAAGAAAAACAATCCACCGACAACCAGCGTTCAGGTTCGCCTCGCCCATTCTGGCGCGATGAGGAAGTTGACAGCAGATCGGGCTGGATCTGGTGGATCAGCCGGTGTGCGGCGCGTCAACAGCGGCTCACCGCTCACCGGCACGTCCCGGTGTGACAAACCGATCGGCCACGGACGAAACCCTTACCTTCTCTTTCGGCCCTCGCTTCTCCAGGTAGCCCTCGTAGTAACAGGGCGGGAGCTGCGCCCGGGCGCCCCCCGAACCGAGGCGCTGCCGGACGGGTGCAGCCGCCATCGAGCGTCGCTGGCCGGGCACCGACTGAGGACAAAGGGGCGCTGAGCGATTCGGGGGCTGACACGCCTTCCCCGAAGAGCCCGTGATACGGCAGTGGTCGTGCAGCTGGCTGATGCTGCCTGCTGTGCCTGAGGGGTCAGGCAGATGGGCGGAACACCAGGTAGAACAAAAAAGGAAAAGATAGTTGGGGAATGATGCCCCGAGTATAGAGATATTTACAGAGGAAACACCACTGCGTTTGAAACAAATGCAAAATATGGAAAAGGATATATTTTAATGCATCTTGTATTACTGAACATACCCCAATTATTTACATTAAAAAAGTCTTTCAACTCATTATGAAACAAATGACTTAATATTTATTTCAGAAAATGAACTGTTTCCATTCATTCATACAAAATAAAACATACAACACACAAGATTAGACTGAGAACAGAGGTAATCCTTATATCCTCAAAATAATCCAGGATAATCCCCCATTTAGTCTTCCCATAGTGTCACAGTTACAAAAACAATGTACTGCATAAGATAGAAGCTTCAACAAATACATGCAAAAGAGCTACATTTGTCAAATAAAATTCCCGTTAAAAACGTGTATAGTGAACTAAAGCTTTAAGGCTGTTAATACTTCATCAGGGTTGCAGAGCAGACATACTTTAGTGTTAGAAAAGACAGCTGCAGCACCTGAACAACTCTTTCAGCTGTGACAGCCGCAGCAGCCCACAAAAATTGATCGTGGCCCTTTGTTCCACGACATATTTTGCCATCAATATTATACAAGCTGCTGAGCAGCGCAACCTGAGCCGCTGACCCTCCTTCCTCATTCAAAGGGAGGGTCAGTTGACTTAGTGTAATGAGGCATGTAAAGACACACCTGAGCCATAGTTATTACCCATCACAGCCTGGGTCCTAAACGTACCAGGAATAATAAAAGAGACATGCATATATAACATTAAGAGGTGCATTTTAGGACAGCAATGAGGATATTATGTATGGACTAGGAGACTGAGGCTCAAAGGCACCATGGGATTGGGATGGGGCAGATAATGAGAAGGGTTCTGGGGTACAGGGGCAGGTGGTGAATAAAGAACAGTGGGGGAGGGCATAATCCACTGCTCTGTGCCCTTCCCCACTGAAAAGATCTGTCTGTTCCACTCTCATTTGAAACAGAGATGGCAGAAATGAGTGGGGTAGGGGGCGGTCTAACAAGGGGATCATGAGAAGAGGAGAGAGTTGGAATTTCTGAGAACACCACCAAAACTGACAGTCTATAGTTTGCTTGGGATAGGCTTAAATTGAACTGAAACCAACCATTGTGTTCAGACCTCCTTCATTATTTGTAGATTCCGTACACATTTGCTGGGAGATGGTGTTCTCCCCCATGTCTGCTCAACTGTTTCTGCCTGGAAAAACAGAGGCAGGTACAACAACGCCAAGCACACGTCACATTAATTTCCATGCTCCAAACCAAAGCCAAGCCTAAGGGGGGGGGGGCAATCATAGATGGACATGTCAATGAAAGCCCTAAAATATTGTGACTGACACTGCCAGCAGTATCAAATGAGCCGGATAAAAAAAGGGATACAGGACAGCATGCGGCTGGCACTGATGCGGTTTTGCTGCATGTTTCACTATTTGGCTGGGCTTAGATGATGACTGCATAAGATTTCAAAGCCATTTAACTTAAACCATTGCAAAAATGTGTGAATTTCAGAAAAACTGGGGAACTGGGGCTGAGGAGCTTGGGAGCGGGGTGCTTTTTAAAACAACTGTAGTGGTGCTGGTGCGTCTGCTTGCTGACAGCAATTAGAATGAAGTATATAACATTACAAGTAGTGAGTTCATGGTCAGCCATACACCTAGTAAACCTCTTGGCTTATGCTGAAATAGCAGATTATTTCACTCAACATAAACGTAAGAGATATTTGAGATCATGACAATACCAAACAACCATAAGGCTAAGAATGATACTTTGTTCAGGTACCACTAGATGGCAGTGAAGGACAGCTTCAGACATCTGTATGGTCAAAGTGTCCCCTACTGGCTGTTACACATCTATTAAACAGTACCATCGCCTGCAGGAACAGAGGGTAAAACAAACAATATTTATGTGTGCAGTCCCATTATTTACACGGCACTGATGGGATTTGTTACATTACAATACAACATTATAAACCGAGTAGTTCCGCTTCTTGGGTACTTTTTGACATGTCCAACAAAGGCCGTCTTCCCTCAGCTTTGGTGATTAGGATGTAGTGTACAAAGTGCATAGGTGCAAAGAGAAGGATTTTTATAGACTTCAGAAATGGTAAAAGCACCCCAAAAAAAATCATATTATCCTTTTTCTATTGAGACATCCTGTCTCGTTAATTTTCTTAGAAAAAATGGGTTTTTCTCCAAGAAAATCAGATAATTTTTTTGTTATGTTTTGCCTTTCTGTAAATTAAAAAACATTTATTGGTTGGCATTTATTCCACCCCCCCTTTTCCCTTCATCCTTTTGCCCTGTTGGTCTTAGTGTGGGAGGGGCACAATAACTTCAACATAGTTGGTGGGAAAGTATCCAGTTCTTCCGCGAAGACTTCCTTCATACCAGTTTTCATCGATTTGACTGACCAAGGTGATGACGTCTCCCTCACGGAAGCCAAGCTCTCCGTCATTCTCTGGTTCAAAGTCATACATGGCTTTGCAGGACGGCTCGGCTGCAGAGACAGATACAGAGGTGGTGACATAGATGATGTAACAGTCATTTTTATAAAAAAAATGCCTTTCTGACCACATCAGAACTGCAGCAATGTTAGTATACAATCCTTTCAAAGGGAGGCACAACATGTCACTAGTACAATTTCCAGCATTCCAGAAATCTCCAGAGAAGACCCCCCAACCTAAGTCACAAAAACTAGAAATGTTAAATATGATGTCTCAAGTTAGTAGTCGGGTAATAATCAAGAATGCTTCTGAAGGTCAAGATCCAAATTGCAGTGTTAATTTTCATCACTCCAATCATAATGCTTGAGTTAAAGGTTGAGGTTTTATTTTAGATTTAAGTTTGGAATAATAACTTAAGTGACTTTTCTTGATAGATCTCAAGATTCAGAATTTTCAGTGCTCAGTAAATAGGCTGTGAGATACATAGAATTCATCCAAAATATAAACAAAATAATAGCTTGATTTAAAAATATCTAATTTGCTGAGTTTAAATCTATTGTTCCGATAATTCTACATATCCACAGCCACTGTCAGACAGTCAGGCAATTTATTATCCCATTATGTTCCAGCTGGTTAAAATGGACAGAATGGACACAAACACCACTCAACAATGTTAGTAAAATACATTTTCAGAAGCATGTCTCCACCTCTCTGCCACACAAATGTGTCAGAGACTGGATGAAAACGGTAAAGCTGTCAGCTTATGTCACACGTAATCCATCTGTCCACTCACGCGCTCTCCTCCTGAGTGAGGGCCTTTGAGAGGACGGAACTGGGCACTGTGCTGCAGCTGGTTTATGTTACAAAAGGAGACATCTGTCAGAAGGATGGCACTTATCTACACACGTCTGCACTTTCTGGACAAAGCTTTTGTACATATACACAGAGAAGTCACACCACACACTCCCATCTGCTTTGATAAGGGTACACGTTAACCATGGCTTTGTTTGGAGACCCTCGTACCATGTCACAGCATTCATTTTCATCCACAGGAGCATCTTTTACGCCGTATGATCTTGCATCATAATAGGAGAGTGATCGCTGTGTTGAATCTTGTCCAGCATGAATGATTCCTAATAAACTTAAGTTATCACTCTGCTGTGGCCAGTCACATAAAAAATGCCATCTCATGCCAACTGGATCACTTTTTCGCAATTTGACTAATGAATCCCAGCATTCTAATTTTAGAATAGATCAGGGAACAATAAATTGTACTGTCTTTCTTAACTTTTTGATGGATTTGCATCTTACTCAAGGAATATGTGGTTTTCTCGAGGCTGCAAATGTGTTTAACCTGAATAACATGTAATAGTTTCAGCAATCTACTTAAAACCATTTTACAGCTCCATTGATGTATTCGACTGCTGTGCTGCCAGCCCTGCACACAGTTATTTTTAAATGACATGCACGGACATGAAAACCGCTGAAAAGCTAACACAGGCTCTGGGGTAACACTATGCATTGATTCTGTAGATGACAACAACCGATATCATTACCAAGAAAACCAAGTGTCAAAAACCATGAACAGGAAATACACTATAAAAAAAACAAAAGCAGATCTACATGAATTTAGACTCGAAACAAAGCGGATCTTATGATTTCACATGTATCTTTTCCATATTAGAAAAAAGTTTAAGAATCTATAATGCAGGCAGTCGACAATGTTGATAAAAGCTCGCTCAAAGTGACAGAAAAAGGCACTAACATGTATGTATGTACTCGCGGGGGTACCCTGGACAGCACTTGGAGAACTGTGTGTGGATGGAGATCTAACCCTTCAGAAACATATTTTCCATGGTGTATTGCTCTAGATATGAGTAACTTACCATGCTCATAAACCAAATCCTCTACCTGATGTTGCAATGTCCAACCATAATTTTGATATTTTTTCATATATAAAACTTAGGATCCACAGAAAGTAAGTTTACCAGCAGAGTAAGCGGGAGGGTTTGAGGCAGCAGATGAATATCCTCCATTTGAATGAGCCGGCTCTCCGTAGTCAAAGGATGGTCTGGGTTTAGGGGTGAATTCACGCCTTGGACGAGACTGAGCCTCATTTACCCTGCAAAGGATCAAATAAGATAAACTTCATCTTTGATCTCACTTGAATACAAGTATTAACAAGCCATTAGGAAAGTAAAATGAACATATTTCAGAATTGTTCAGAGTGGTTCTCTTTGAAACATACACAGCTGGGATACAGCTTAACAGAAACATTTCAATCAAAAAATCTAGTTAATCAAGAGAATCCACAAAAAATGCTACCAGTGCTTTTAATTTTGAATAACTTTCTACAGATTTACAACCTTCCATTTAAGGGATTTGTGCATAGCATCAGACAATGATTATTACTTATTATGAGATAGATCAAACAAAAGACTGTGTGGTAAAACCATTCTTACTGTTCAGCCAACACAGTCAGCTTTAAAAGAACAGTTTCCTAAAATAGTAAATGTGCTGACCTCTCTTTCAGTCTGTCAGTAAGCTCCTCCAGGATCTGTGAGGCCTGTCTATGGTACTGCAGCAGGGAGTCCACAAAGGAAGACAGCTGACTCACCTGCTCCACCTACATGTGCACAAAACGATATCTCGTTAGACTGTTATCCAACACAGAAACAGCTCCGGCTCCTGGTTGTAAATCAACCACGTTTTTCATTGCACAAACCACAATACCTTGAAACTAAAAGCTTTTGAACTCATATGAAGACCGAAAATACCAGAGGAAAACAGGTCTGACAAGCTCAGGCTACAGCAAGTCGCTGTGGAAAAACACCAGATACATAAGCTGACATTTGCAGTCCTTACAGATATGTAGTGCAGATTCACAAACAGTGACCTTCATTTTTAAACCATAAAGTCAGAGTAACCAAGTAGAGTACACTCAGAGAGCCAGAACACAATAAGAGACTTTTTTTTTTTATGGAAGACAGTACAAATTCAAGTTTAAGGGTATGAAATTCGTAAAATTTTTAATTGTGCTTCTGTCAGAGGAAAATGCTCAAATGCTGTGCAGATGTTTCAGGAATTTTTTTCAGAAAAAAATTCAATAATTAAGAAATTACTTCTCCACTTTTTAAAATTTCAAATGGTTGACTATTTTTTTTTTGCCCTATGGTCTATGGTTTCGAGGTTACTGACTTTTACATAAATACACAGGTAGTTTGACATATTTATTGACTTTACAGTAGAAACACTATTAAGAAATATTACAACCTGAAACTGACTTAAATGGATGGTGTGTTGAGCTTCATGTTCGTTGAAGACAACAGTCCCACTTTCAATCAGCTGCACACATGTGGTAGACTAAGCTCTGTTGGGTTTATTATGTTCACTTTTTCAAACCACAACATATGCCCCAATAAAGAAAATAATGGTGGTATATTTCTTTCTAATTTGGTGAAACATGGTTAACAAACTGATGACTTGACTGTGCAGGTCACACTTGTTCCACAGTAAACATGCCCTTTAAGTGTTTTCAGTTTGTGCTGAAGTAAAACTAGTTTGCAAATAATTGGCCAAACTGGGATCAATACATGAGGTAAAAGGCATTCTCTGTTTGCATTATAATCTTAACTGTATGCTGCCTGCTATAATAGAAGATTCATGTTAAGAATTTTACAAACTTACATCAGTTTCCAGGAGGTTATGCATGGAGCTCTCAGCCATCTCTTTGGACTCATGGAATTTCTCCAGAGCCTGTCTGACCTCTTCGTCTGAGATTTTTCCTTGACGTTTCTTTTTATAATCATAATCGAGACGCCGGCCCTCCAACTTTTTCAGATGGTGCTGGAGATTAAAAAATATATGAAATTTTTGACAGGGAAGGAAGAATAAACTAAATATTTTCATTTGTTCATAACTGCTTTGAAAAAATCCTTAATGAGCTTCTCATGTCCATGTTTATGCCGAGTGGTTTCCATACCTGTGCAGCTGACAGACAGGCTGCAGAGATCATTTGTCAGTGCAGAGTCTGTGCATGCAGAAGATTACCATCTCTTTGATCATACCTGAATGTCTTTGATATCCTTCTCAGCAACTGCCTGGAGTGGGTCTATGAAATTCTGTTTCACATCAATATCAAGGGAGTCTTTGACCTCTGCCATCCTCTTCATTGCCTCTCCGACATCGATTAGAGCCCCGCCTGTACAAATACCCCAAAATACCAGAATTTGAAGCTTGAAACATGTGGACTACATAAATAATTAAATCAGACCTATACCTAGTCACAACAAAATGGCTCTTAAAACATCAGTAGCTAAGAATAAAAAGCAGACCTATGACAATCCAAGTGGCAGTTCCATCCCCAGTTTGTGTGGACTACAGGTAAAGACTTCTAAGGTGAGACGGTGTAACCCATGCTGCATCCACTGTGTCATGTCATTAGTTCTGAGAACAAGCTGACTGTTTCCCCAACGTCAGAAAGTGTAAAGTTTAATGCAGTATTTTTTTATTATTCTTTAGTGTCTGAATAAATGGTGGATGGTGAATATAAAACCTTTAGGATCAAGGAGCACTATTTACAAATGTTTTTTTATTTTATTCTATTATATTCATAACAATTTAAGATAATGAGGCACCATAACTCAGGGTATAATGCTCCTCACACTGGTTATAAACCACAGTAGCCTGTTCTTTCATACTGGAAACAGCATGGAACTTATTAAAGTTCCATGCTGTATGTCACATTTTATGAAATAAGATATAAAATAAGATCTAAATGAGAACAACGCACCAAGAAAATAAAACAAAATAATGCAGAGAAATTAAAGTGTTTTCATGTGGGCTATTCACTGTTAATTGAGTTTGTTTTAATCTAGTTTTGTAAACCAAAAGTCCACAGCCAGTGGGTTGTGAAGCATGTGATATTTGGCCTAAACTGGACTTACAAAGAAATGCAATGAATAAATCCAATTCATCATGACAAAGTAATTATGCCACCCTGAATGCAGCGTTTTGTGATGCAGTGAAATTAATGCAGCATTGCCTGAAGAAGTGCCACGGATTTCACTGGAACACAACTTTGTGATGCAATCTACTGCCATCCTATGATTCTATAGTCTCTCACAGAATATTTTATTAATCAAAGGAAAAATGCTGTTTTTATGTAGAAGTACAGTTGCAGTGGTTGAGAAGCAGCATTATAAAGGTTCATATGATTATTAACCATGTGCTAATCACTATATAGTAAACAATATTCAGGTTTGGGGTTTAAAACAATAACACAGACAAAAGATGATGAGGTTTTTCAGTGATATAATTTAGCAAGAATACTGGCTGATTATAATAAGGTACAGGATTAATTGGACCACCCTTCAAAATATATCACAGATTACATTCAGCTAAAAGTGCTACATGGTACAGATAACCTGCATTAAAAAAAATATATATATATATATATTACCGAAGTTGTTGTCCTCGCCCATGTCTCGTCCATATTTAGTCATGCTCTCTCCCAGCAGACCCTCCGGCTGTGGGTATCCTGGACTGTTCACCTGCCCACGGATTTTGGACACCGTGTTGAGCATAGAAAGCTTGGCTCTCGTTGCTGGGTTAGGCTGGAGGTATTCTGAGGTTTTGCTGATGACCTCCACAACTGCTTTGCTCGTCACATCTGCTCTCTATTACCATATGGTGAGAAACAAGAATAAACAGCCACTGAAAATCACAGTAGTTTTAACACAGGGAATCTAAATATCATGCTCAAATGTATACCCTTTCAAGATCCCTGAAGTCTTCATCCAGTTTGGTTCCCTCTGCACCCCCAACTTTCTCGCTCACCATCTGTGAACGTAGAGAAAATAGTCTTAACTTGGTATAGTAGTGGAATAAACTTTGTATATATATATTGTCAATATAATGCCATTAATGCAATTTAATACCTTGTTTTTCAGGAAGAATATTTAATATTGTTCAGAACACACTGGCAGCAAAGCTAATGTTTGCCAGGTAACGTTAAATTTTTAGCATATCATGACACTAATCATGACACTACAGCTGGAATTAATTCCATCATGCCAACAATGGGAAGGACTGCAATAAGCTGTTTAGCTTCTCTTATTTATGGTTTGTAGAACTGTATCAACGGTTTTTGTATATATATGATTTTGCGGCTAACAGTGTTCCTCCCAGTTTGCACTGTGAATGAGGGTAAGGTATTTGTTGGCAGATTAACCTGAGTATAAACTTAATAAATATAATAAAAATAAATCTATAAATCTCACGGGTAACTTTTGTTTGTAATTCTTACTGCCTGGTTCACAAGTCAAATGTTGCCCCAAAATTATAAATCAAGAAAATAACTGACAAAGGTTGTTCGAGACTGCAATAAAGAAGCAAAAAGTCTGACCCTCATTACAGGTTAAGTACCTCATTACTCATGACAATGCTCAAATATGACATTGGGGTGTTGCACAGTGGGTTATAATATTGTCATTTTAATCATGCATGCAGCTTTATTACATCTTAATCTTTAAAAAAAATATTAGCACAACCCTGTCAAGTACCACTATTTCTCTGACAAACTGTGTGTGTTCAGGCTTCCAGACTTGTATGTTCTTTAAAGATTTGCTTAGTGAAATATCCATGCATAAACAATAGGGAACTTAAATCCTGGCCAAATATGAACAGCAGAGGTCTGCATACTCTTGGGAAGGTCACAATAATCCCAGTCAAGACCAACAGCATTTAAATAAAGGTGATTTTTTTTGTATTCTCATTCCCATGCATAGCTGAATGCTTTGCCAAGGTTCAACAGTTCAAACAAACGCTCAGGGTGTGGCTAAATAAAAAGGGCACATCCGCTCAATATAAACTATTGATTAGAATCTGGAGAACCAATAGAGGAAGTAAGGTGTATTAAAGGTTGCATTTACAGAGAATGAAACGTGTCATTAGGCTTGAATGCCTTGCTGTCATCCATATCCAAACTTAAATGTTTTTCTACCCCATTTTGGTTAAAAGAAATTCCTAATGTGGTGGAAAAGATGAAATTAGACCTCAATGTACTTGAGACCTAAATTCCATAAAGAGGTTTTCCCTTTTTCCATCAGGTCAGCAGACACATTAAAGTTTCCTAACAACCACATCCATGGATAGTTTTGCTCAAAATGGAAGCTACTTTATTCTCTCTTTCACTACAAAGTTTGGCAGGCCAAACAGAGATTGTCAAACTGCGTACATTGGGCTTATTTGGCTCAAATATTCTCAGCTGTCAGCACCACAAAGGGACATAAAATCTTCTGACCAGACAGATCACTCACTCTCAGTTTATGCACTGCGCTGACATGGCCAAGATCTGAGGTACAGAACAAGAGGAGACTTAAAAACATCTGTAAGCACCTACTGGAATAAAAACAAGTTTCAGAGCTCAAGTGGAAAAAGGAAGTATGTGATGTTTTCTAGGGATGGGACGGTTTCTTAAAACCGTCTGAACCGTTCGGTTCGACTGTCTCGGTTCGGTTCGCGTGTGTACCGCACGGTTCATGCACTGCTCCTTTTTCTCAGAGGGAAGCGTTTACACTCCAGAGCAGAAGGGGGCGCTACTTCGCCCAAAGCCAACCACCAGTAGGAAACAAGAAGAAGAAGCGAAGCAGCGTGGCAGATAGAAATCCGACGCGCCAACAGCAGTTTCTAGGTCTGCTGTATTCGACCACTTTGCATTTAGAGGGAAGCACATGATGGAATTGTTGGCACTGTTTCCTCTTTTGCAATGCCAGAATCTCACCTACTTTAACCTTAGACTGTCACAATAATGTATCAAATGTCAGACTGCTTTTTTCTTTCAGTTTTAACTAGGGATGGGGATCGAAACCCGGTTCTATCAAGGACCCAGTTCCACTTTTTTCAAAACCCGAAAATCAATAACGTTTGGGCTTATTGATACCACTATCGAGTCTGGTCGTTTTTTTTATTATTACAATAGTAATTGTGAAATCCGTGTTGTAATCGGCAGCATACAAGCTAGTTAGCTTGAAAAGTAAATAAAGTTTCAGACGTGCTGCGTGATGATGTGTTCAGATTGGCTCAGTAAAACGACAATTAGGTTATCATGATGCGTTCAAGTGTAATGTAAAGAAAAGGGAAATTGAGTTTTTGGCGAGACACATGAGTAATACAGTTGTATATTGCTCTAATTATTTTAGAATATATAATTAAACTACTGATGCCAACATTTATTAAAAATTACATTTAATTTAAAATACAATTATTTATTTGTTAAATATAGTCGCATCGTCTTTCCACCAAATAACAGAAAATTATCGATAGTGGTATCGATCAAGACTCGGATCGATAAGGAGTATCGATATCAATAAATATTAACGATCCCCCATCCCTAGTTTTAACCTGACTATACAAGACATAAAAGACAATCACCATATACCAGCCGAACCGAAAACCGTGACCACGAAACCGTGAAACGAACCGAACCGTGGATTTTGTGAACCATCCCACCCCTAATGTTTTCTACAGCAACTATGAATAAATTATGACTTGATGGTTTAAATTGCAAGTGCTGATAAACAAAACGTTTTCGTAAGGATACACATCTATGATTTGTGAATGTGTGAACTACACTGAGCTAAAGCTCCTTGGACAGCAGAATCCTGCCAAAAACAGCATTCCACAGAGCTGCTACTGGAGGAAGATCTGGACTTCCAACAAAAAAGAATTCCTCAATGCAAGGCTCTTTGGGGACAACGAGCTCCCTGCCATACACTGTAAGCAAGCAAGCATTTTTAGGTATGTGAATTTTAAAAAACACATTTTTGTACTTCAATCAACTGAAGCATACACTGCAATAGAAATTAAAATGCTTATTTGTGGGGTCAAACTTGTGAGCAGCTGGAATGGTTTAATGCCTTTAGACAGTTTCTATGTCAAAAGGTACACAATTAACTGGGGTGGGGGGGTGGATACACTTTTGCCTTTAACTTTAAATAACAGTATCTAAAACAGCCCATTTATACAACTTAGTCACACAACTTATCGTTCCCAATCCCCACCCAATATTTGCCATGCTGACCAGGAAATGTTACACTTTAGCTCAAGCATGACTCATTTGTGGAGTCAAATATGTCAAAGGTAGTCAGTATCAGTTTTATGGCATCACTCATCAACCTGCTCTGTTCAGGTGTTGAAAGAGCTAAAACTAAGTAGATTTCCCCATATACTGCCAAAGTGCTAGATAAATAAGTTAACTATCTAAGCAGATACCGTGCTTTGACATCCTCTATACACAGTGCAGCTATGAAGTATATATTTACTATATCCCCAATAAGTTAAAAGAGCAACTGTAAAGAAAAACAAACTCACAAGCAAAAAATAAATGAATAAATTCCATCTGTGCTAGAGGTTAGTTTTTCCGGTTGTGTTCACATTATTAGCATTCCAATACCTGTAATTAACTACACACACACTAAACATAGACCCATTACTTCACTTTGATAATGTTCTGCCAAAAGCACCTGTTGTAGTGATGCCGTCATCAAAACAAAGGCCTCTGGTTTTGCAGGTCAGGCCTTGCTCAGCTTTGTGTTTATGCTGACAAGTTTGACGTCTAGCAGGCTCAAGACTAAATTTTAATATTTTCTGCACTAGTGGATTACTACAGCATGTCATTTGTAAATACGAGACGCAAAACAATTGAAAAATACGGATGTTTAGGTGTGGGATCTGCCTTCCCAAAATGTTCCTTCAATGCATTTGAATATTTTACATACTTCTTCTGAACCACCAGATCATTATGCAGTCAGCTGTGACTTGTGACACAGGTTTAGACAGGATGCCAGTCACTGAGAAGAAACAAACTTTAAAATTAAGCTTAGTCAGTTTAAGTGTTTCTCCTGAATTAGGCTCAAATTAAACGTTTATAGGAACATACAGTAGTTTGTTTTATTGCTACTTAATAATGACAGTTTGTGCCAGAGGATAAGAGGAAGTCAATTTATCATTGCTTCTCATATATGTAACAACTAAACATTACTTCAGATGTGTGATCTACTCCTGTCCCCAACACATCTGGGCAATACTAACCCCCAATCTCAAAGCTGACATAACACCTTAAGCAGATGCAGTTATGGCGCTACTCTGGCACTATTTCAAATGAACATTTAAGTGAAATAGTTCAATACAACCCTGGAAACTATTGTGAAAGTAACATTTGGATTTTAAACACGGCAGTAGGTTCAGGAAAAGAACAGCCCTGGTCTCAGGTAACGCTCTGCGTTAAGAAACTAAGTCAAACCTGAAATTAGCATTAGCTTATTTTAAGTTAACATTGACGTTATTCGTAGGTGGATGCATATTTCACAGTCGCCTTTTTACGGCATAGGAGGTTTAAAACGTATAATGGAAATGGAGAGAAGTTTTTTTCACATATTGTTTTCGACAACTTATTCTTCTTAGCACGCTAGCTTGAAGCTAGAGCAATTGAAGCAGCGAAAATGCTAGCGTGCTACATGAGAACTTGGCCATTATTTTTAGTTTTCAAACCGAGTCGTACGTTTACCTGCGTGGCTTTGTAAATTTGCTTTTTGATTCCTGCGACCGACATCTTGCACCGTTCGGGATTTCCACTTGGTCTTCGACCGGTGGGTTTGTGTACAGGACAGAGAGCCGAGCAGCGCCTCTTCAAACTTTGCTCCGTAGTAGACGAAAAACTTGCTGGGCAACCACAATTTCCTGCCTTCAAGTGGGAGGGCCCGTACTGCTGGATAAACTGGGTTAAAAACACGCGGAGATGACAACACAGGGAAACTGGATAAGATGTGTATCTATTTACCCAGCGACGACGAATTAATTTAAAGCATTTTTTTAAATAAACGTTTAACGGTAGATAGATGCAGTTTAAATTTGGGGGTAATACATTACAAATGCCTTTCCACTTCAGCGAAATAGTGTTATGTGTTAAATAAACACGTCCAAAGAAAACCAGATTACAAAGGCAGGCAACAAATCCCTCCAGGGAAAACTGCAATCCAACGTTTCAGTTTTTTTGCATTCAAAATCACGGACATGATCTATTTGATATTTTTTCCCCATAGTATGGGCCGTCAGAAATTTCCTTTATTTTGAAATGGAGAAGAAATCGAAAGGATAATTTGCTCATGTCAACTCAATTTCTTTTAAACCAAAGCAAAAAATCCAAACAAGGCAGTTATTTCAAAAGAAAAAAGAAACCATTTATTACATTCTTAAAACCACATATAATGTATCCCATTGGACATCAATATATATCAAGCTTTGTGACTCAGTTGGACTAGTAATATACCTCTTGTACATTTTGTCAAACAGGGAAAGAGTAGGGAGTCATAACAATTTTTCTGTTTGTTTGCATTTATCCTAATCTTTCTTCAATTAAAAAAACAAACAAATCACTGACTTTACAAGACAAAAAGTGGAGACGTGAAGAAAAATGTGGATAAAAGACGGACGAGTAAATGAACATCACAGCAAAGAAACAATAAATCCCAATAACGAATTCAACTTTTAACTCTAACTGATTTTTTTGTTTTGTTTTTTAAACTCTATGCATCTTAAAATTGAATGTTACAATATTAGGACAAAACAGGAAGGGCGTTGACACTTTGTGAGTAACATTCACAAAAATAGAACTTAAGTCCACAGTGATTATGGTTATGGGTCTTAGGTGCAAAGGTGTGAGGAGCACAAGGCTAAAGGATGACACTTATAATAAAGGGACAGAAGATCACAGCTAGCTCCCTGAGCATCAGGCAGCAGGTCCTAAGACCCTGCTAAAAAATGACACAGCACCCCAAAGTAAGACGCGCTCGTCATCTTAATGCTATAATGACCTTCAGAACATTTTGATATTTGTGTGCATGAAAAATGTAAACAGTTATGGATGACTTGTGTGACAGATGTGGACAATAAAACAGAACCAATAAAACCGACGGACTGAAGTCTTACTGAAGCATTAAAGCCCAACTCAGGGGGGCAGCTGGTAGCTCTGTCTAGCCTTCGCTTAGTGTCAAGTGAGAAAGAGTAAAGTATAAGTGCTTGGTATTTTGGACAAGTGTCGGATTTAGGACTAAAGGAGAGAGAAACACCAAATGTACAAAATAATACAGTTGCATCAACCAGCAGAGAGAATTTATGATACAAATGGACCAAGCTAATCTCAGACTTTAGCCAACTGAAACATTGTGAGTGCATCACAGTCATGGTACTGTAGTCCTATCCCACTAGCTGCTGGTTAAAACAAGTAGAGCAACACAGTCATTGTACAGTTGTTGAAGTTATCTTTCGCCTTGCTCTCTTTTTCCTCGTGTCCTGTTTGTCCTCCTGTCTCTTGAAGTGCAGGGGGAGGGGGGCGGGGAAGCAGCAGCAGTGCGGACTGAAAGCTAACAGTTCAAAATGCAAGGCGATGCTTTGGGTTTTTTTTTTTTCCAGTACGCTGCCCCCATCCTGCTGTGTTGCATCTGCAACAACGTCCACCCTGTCACTTGCGGGATGGCAACATTGGGCAAAGAGGGGGTTTGTTGCCATGGAAACCTGAGAGTACTGTCAAGAATGGATAAATCATCCAGGAAAAAAAGAAACAACAACAAAGATCTGAGTCCAAATATCAGCCTTCCTCACATCGTTTGTGCCTAAACCATCCAACCATCCTTTTTTCTCTCCCTCACACACTCTTACTCTCAACATATATTTATATAGTCATCTATTTACATTCTTATTTAAAATATTCTGTTTATAAATGTGTATATAAATTAAAGATAATTTCATCTTGTCCTGTCTCTAAGTGGCATTTGCAAGGAAAGGGGTGTGTGGGACTGAGGTTTCTCATTGCATTACAAGAGCCTGTGTAAAGGCAGCACCGAACACTGTCTACTTTTATTGTGTGTGCAGTTGTTTTTTTGTGAGGACTTTGTTCACTCTAAGATGTGAGTTGCATGGGTTTTCTTTTCATGTCAGAGAAAAACTCTGAACTGCGATCTTGGTCCCTAAGGGATGGGTAAGTAAAAGGATGCTTTCTGTATGAATCTGCATGTGCACCACACCGGGATGCAAGAATACAGAAGAGTAATTATTCAGAACTTTATTAAGAGTGAACCCTGTTGATCAACGTCATGCTAATTGTGTGTGAAAAACTGCCTCAGAGTGGTGGCGGGTTACATTCACTGTTGCTTGGTTCTTGCTTGTGCACTGGTGCTAATTAATGAGGTACATTCATAACTGGCTAGGTGATCCCCACTGGATCAGATGTCGAACATGTTTTAGAGCTTGGAGCTTTTACATGCTAGGTGGGCTCTGGTGATATTATAACAATGCCCACCTGAGTGTTGTCAATGCTACAATATGCAGGACCATGAGCTTGTGTGGTCTGTAGTGTAAGGTGCTTTGCCTGCTGGGATAGTGGAGGACTACTTTGGGAGACGGAGTATTTAAAGTCCTGGATTGTCTCTTAACTGCTGGTTATTAGTCTTAATAATCTCTAACTTTCTCTGTCTCTCCTTTTGCTCCCCCTCACTCTCCATCCCTCTTGTTTGTCTATCAGTCTGTTTAGCTGTTTGTGGAATCTGGCAGAGACATCTCGCTGCCAAAAACTTCCCGATACAGCGGTGGAAAGCTGTAGGCGGTTTCTGGGTGGACCAAACGGAAAAACTCCAGCTTGTCAATGTGGAGGTTGCAGATAGACTTCATAACAGGCAGCTTAGACAGCATCTACAAGGAAAGAAGACACAAAAAGGTAAATGCTCCATCCACATAAGCACGTGGCTACTTTTTCTTATGACCAGACCAAGTTTGATAAAGAAAAAAAACATACGGTGTAAAAATTGGCTTTTTTTGTTTCCGGTTAATATCAAAAACTTAATTTTATCCAGGTGTCTGAAAGAAAAAGAGGATGTCTATTTGCTTGCTTTTACCTTGTCGAGTTTCTCATCAGAGGCAGTGCTCTTCTGTAGACTGTGCTGCAGGGCTAGGTAGACTTTCTCTTGGAGTTTCTGAACCTTCTGGCCTTCGGTCAGCCAGGGTCGATCTGCGGGGACATAGATTTCTCATAATACTGCATAATACTATGCAGCATTAACTGCATAGTTGAGTTAATACTACTCGACTCTCCAGTAGTTGAACTTCCTCTAGTCATGGAAGTTGGCAGTACATGCCAATAGCTCTGGTTGGTGATTAGTGACGTGATCATCACCAAGTTTATACTATATAATCTAATAATTTCATCATTAAATGAGAAATGTACAAATCTCCTTCAAATGGCCTGACATCACTTACAATCAATACTGCAGGTCCTTCTTCCCTACTCCTGTTAGGATTTATAATACCTGCACTGCCTGATCCATGACGTTAGCCTTAGTAGTCAATTGGTAAATTAGTTAATTGATAAATTGGTGTGAATTAACTTTAATATTTTGAGAATCATATTATCATATTTTAATAACTCTCAATTAATATTTAATTATTTTTTTTGCATAGTAAATAGCCTTTATGTATCTATGCCTCCACTGTGCTTGTGCTTTTAACCATTTTTCTGCTGTAATGCAAATTTCCCTACTGTGGGATCAATAAAGTATTCTATTCTATTCTATTCTATTCTATTCTATTCTATTCTATTCTATTCTATTCTATTCTATTCTATTCTATTGCAATTGATCACTATGCGTTCCAATTTCAGCATGAAAACAGCTACTTTTTATGTAATGATGTCATGCACTGAATTTTTGCTTTGTCACTCTGAACAATTCATTCCATAGATGTGAGACAAAGCTTGACTCTTGAAGCCAAGAATGGCATAAAGAATGCATGAGTCAGCTAAATCAGTTCGTCTTCATATGCTAAAAAAAAAATCTGTGTCAAGGGTGTCAAGAGCCAGTAGGAGGAGCTCAAAGCAACAGAAAGTGGATGTGGCCTTTTTTTTCCAGTAACAAAACATCACTATTATAACCATCATTTTGCAGAAGAGTGTGCACTTCCTCAGTATTAGTAGTGTTTGTTTCGGTTTGAAGGGAGAAGTAAAATATTCACCAGGTGAGAGAAGGACAGCGGCACTAAAGAGGGCCATCTCCTCGTCAGACAGCTGCAAACGGCCGAGTCCTTTCCCCAGCTCAAATACTGCGTTGACCAGGTCATCACAGCCTGCACACACAACACATTGTTTTTGATAAGTGGATTGACAAAAATAGTAAAGCTAATCCTCCCGCTTAACCAAATTAGTGCACTGAAAAACAAATTGGTGGACACACAATGTAAAAGAGAATGACTAAGGCATCTGTCTCTGCCTACTGTAAAAAATCCATTTCACTGTAATTAAATTACCAGTTTTTCCTACTGTTATTTCTGCCTGTCTGGCCCGTCACAAGTCACAGGATGCAGATGTTTGAAGAAAAGTCACTGGAAAATATATATTCTCCATCCTTTAGAAGGAAAGATTCTTAAAATATTTCCTTTAATTAATTCACTTTGGTCTTTTTTTCTCTTGAGTTTACCCACTAGAGTGCATTGTTTCACAATTCTTGTGAATAAAAGGAAGTAGAGAGTAGATGACAACACCCACACTGTCCTCAACATCTACTGATTTGACTGAAAATGCTAAGTTCTTTATATCGTGAATAGTACTGATGATCGTTATCACAGATGTCCTAAATTATTTCGGTCCAGTTGTCAAAAATGAATACTTCACTGTAATTGCACTTTGAAGAATTGGAAGAGACACAAGTCCTCCAGCTCACAGAGGCCAGAGGACACTTCATACGCTTTGACTGTGTGCCCATCATTTGAACATTTCCAAGCTTATGAAACAACATTCCCCACTGATCCTCACCAAGTGCTTTGAAGAAGTGAGCTGGGGCAAATTTTCCATTGAAGAAAATAGTGTTGTTGTTGCTGTTGAAGGCGCGGCACATACGTATAAGCAGGACCTCGAGACAGCCTAAAAATGAGTAGCCACAGACAGACGAATGGACATGGAAAGATGGAAAGGGAAGAAGGTAGAGGGAGAGGAAGGACAGAAAAGGCCAAAGATACTCCAGCATGCACAAAACATATAACAAAATGTAAATAATTTGGACTCACATTGGTGAACAAAATACATGACAATTTTGAACCAGTTGAAAATCCAAAGGATAACACAAATATCCAACAAGATTTTTTAAAGTTCAAAATATTTACACAGAGCGTAATGTCAAATGGATGCAACACAATATTTCAAATATTGAACATTTATTTCCAGAATAGTGTTTTTCTCCCCAGTGTTCAGACCAGTTGTGCATTATTTGTCAAACAAACAAACAATCAAACAAAATGATGATAAATAAATAACAAACAGGGCAAAGATAGAAGGTTGGAGACAAAAAAAACAGGAAGGAACTCGAGTTAGCAAGTTTAAGACTGTTTACTTTACAGGAATTAACTCTGTGAATTAGGTAACTGTGCTCTTTGGACTCTGTACTGACCTGCTTTCAGCAGTATAATCTGGTCGTTCTGGCACAGGTCCATGAAACCTGCAATGCGCTTGGCGAACTCCACCACGTACTGGATGGCATTAGTGATGTGATGGGCGCACTGCTGCCACATCCACTCAGCAGACTGAAAACAGAACATGAGCATTGAAGGTCAATCAATATGATAAACACTCGACTGCACAACATCTGTGATATCATCAAAAAGCTTTAATGACAACTTTATTTCCAATCACACAAAAATCCACATTACTGTGATGTTTGCTGCCAAATCAGTCATATAGATTTATCTGAGGTAAGTGTGGTAAATCTGAATTTTAGTTTTACCCTCAAAAAGGTGTTTTTTCTTTCGTAGTTCTTAAACTTGTGGACATGAATAATACTAAACTACAAAGTGTGTCTGGCAGCGGTGTGTTTGCATACCTTGTTCTGAAAAGTCCGTGTTTCCTCAGGTGTGTACTGCACCCAGGTGAATCTCTTCATGTCCTCAATGCTGTACTGACACGTTTCCAAGTGAGACTTAACAATGCTCTGAGTGATGTGCTCTGTAAAACAAAATATACACACCGGCATCAGTGCCGTCTCACTCTGGCTACCTTTGGTGACACAGCATCAGGTGAGTGCTTTGAAAAAGAAAGTGTGAGTAGGAGAGCCATGCTGGTGCTGTTTACATGTCTACAGATTTCAGTGACCTTTTACTGTTGACCATTGGAAATTTCTAATATTGTCTCTGAACATGTACACCAGTTTTAAAAAAAACATTTTTTTTACCTCCAGATCCTAATATCCTATAATTCTTCTAGTCACATTCCATTAACTAATTTCTTCCTTTACAACATCCAAAAGCTCCACTTGAAAGTGGTATTCTTTTGCATACCACTTTTTAAAAAATACGAAAACAAGCTCCGAAACCAGCTACTCCATAAAATCCCCTGTGGTGAAGCATCTGCTTCCTTACTTGTACAATTAAAACTATTCAGCCATGTTGTTAACTGGCCTTGCTAGATAAGTAAAACGGCTTTCTGTTCATTTCATAGTGTTTATTGTCTCTTTGCAGACCCAGTTTAATTCTGTCCTTTGGCGTTCTATAAATCCTAAATATCCTTTATTTCTGTTGGCTATTAAATAAAATTTGCTGTTCAAATAAAACTAGCTTTTCTTCCATCCAGTTTAGTTCTGCATTTTCACTCATATCTGGCAGTAAACTGCTTGGAATTTATTCTGTTTTTTCAAATAAACGGTTGTTTCACATCTTTCAATGAGAATAAATTACTTTACAGCATATCCACCAGATAACCTCCAACTCCATTGATAAGATTGAATTTTTTGTGCTGAAATATTATCCTAATGGATCCTGATAAATTGTAAAGTGCTTTACTTTACTTTTAAAGTGTTTACTGTCCTTGAAATTTATGTCAGAAGTGGTCATGTTTCAAGAGCTGCTGAGAGTGTTTTTAGATAAAACAGTTGAAAAAGCATTAACTTTGCAAGAGGCAGAGAATCAACATTAAATAATAAAACAGTGTGACATGGTGTTGACCTTACTAATGCAGGTCTGTCAAACATAATGTCATGCCAAGTAAATACCTGCTTTTGACTAAATTACATCAAAGCATGACCACTGAAGTGAGAAAGAATGCTATTATGGTTCACTATGAGACATTTATTTTGTTCAAGTGAGTCATAAATAGCAAGATCTTTGTTGTTTTTATCTTCAGTCTCACCTAGGTCTGTTACTGAGCAGTCATCGGGCAGGTGGTCCAGCAGCGTGCGTCTGTGACCCAGCAGCGGATGTGTGTGCAAGAACTGGATCCCGTTGGTGTCTGCCGAGTCCAGCACTGTCTGCTGCGGGGAATTCTGATTGGATAGGGAGGAGGAGGATGAAGAGGACGACGAGGAGTTGGAGGTGTTCCCCGTGCTGGCTCCTCCGAGCAGCTCCAGGCTGCAGTACTCGCTGGCCTCCTCAGGGGTCAGCGGCAGGTCGAACAGGTCGGGCAGGGCCGCGATGTCATCCAGGTCGCTGAGGGTGGAGGTGGAGCCCCCGCTGCTGTAGGACCGGCTCAGGCCCTCCTCGCCATCCTCGGTGCCGCTGCCGCAGACTCTGTCCTCCCTGGGTAGGGACAGAGCGGTGGAGCCCCCGGAGCCCACGCACTCTTGGGATTTCTGGTGCTTTTGGACCTCAGCGTAGAGGCTGTCACGCTGCTTCTTTGACATACGTCCAAACTTCACAGCTGAAGAGAGAAAAATGCATATTTCACGTCAGAGACCTTCTTCACTGAGTTTCTCTCTGGGTTTCCATTACAGAATGACATGTTGGGGAAATTTATTATTATTATTTCAGAGAGTTAGTTTAAGCGTTTATGTGTGTTTTTTTTGTGTTTTTTTACCATCTCGGCTCATGCCCAAAGCCAGACACTTCTGCAGACGGCAGTGCTGGCAGCGGTTGCGGTTAGTTCGGTCAATCAGACAGTTCCTCTGGCGGGAACAAGAGTACATGGCATTGTTCTGCTGGCTGCGACGGAAGAAACCCTGGATACAAACAAACATAAACAGACAACATCAGAAATTACAAGCAAACTTAAGTAAGTGGGTGTTTAAAGTTTAAAGTTGTGCTTTGTGTCCTGCTCCCCCCCAACTCACCTTGCAGCCCTCGCAGGTAATGACGCCATAGTGAATTCCTGAGGACTTGTCCCCACAGATCTTACAGGGGATGACCTCGATCTGAGCTGCAAAACCAAACAGACAATAACAACGAGACTGGTCAGAAAACTGCCTGCAATGAGCCTCAGATGGACACGGGGAGCAGCCATCCCGATTAGGCTTTCATTATGGGCAGACTGTTGACACCTTAAGCTCGCTTGGCAGCAAAAATGAATGAATAAGTGAATACGATGTAAACACAGACTTAAGACTGAGCGGCAGAATATTCAGACAAAACACAGAGTTTCACAGAAGCCCATATTTGGCAAGCTTTAACCCCAGATGGGGCAGACACCCACCCACCCGGAGTCTGGCTCTGTCTGAGCTTCTCTTCCTTTTAAAAGCGTTTTCCTCCTCTCTGTCGCCAAGCACTGCACGTGGAGGTTTTGTTGGACATTTTTGAAAATCATTGGAAGTTCTTGACTTTTCTCTGCCCAGCAGCCTGGGATAGTACAATGTACTTTGTAATAATTGTGTCAACATAAATAATACTTATCTATGTGAGATTTGATTAAATACTTTTGACCACTCCACCTCTTTTTTATTTTATAAAATAACCAAAAGCTCTTCCCTAAAGCCAGGGCTTAGTTCGTCTGTCTTGACCTCACCAGCCGAACCAGTTAAGGCGGACACTTGCCTTCCCTGATTCTGGTGCTGCTGCAGGCTATGAATGGGACAGTTCTTCATCACTGCATCACCGCTGCTCACTACCTCGTGCATATCGAGTTGAAAATTAAATCAAATTTGTCACATTGAATTCTTTTGAATTGTATGAAGACAGTAAGAATGTACTGGGCTAGCTAAATTAGGTTAAACTGAACTTCCATTGAACTTTAGTCTCTTAGGGAAATATGACTAACATGATGTAGGCAGCATCTATAAAAAAAAAAGGTGAAGTAATAAAATGAAAATGCTGCCAAATAAATGTGACACAAGGTATTAGAATGAATAGATTATTTATGGATCTTGATTTGAATGGAAAATGCACCTGCAAAGCTTTCAACAGTATATACTTTGTAGCGTTTTGGTACGCCCACCCCCACCACTACTCTTTTGCCAACGTTTAAAGGTTTAGACTTACACTTTATGAGTCTGAGAGCAGAGCGGGCCTGAAACATGTCTCATTGCCAGAGTCGTGTGCGCATTTAAGACCATAACCCCTGTTGGCAAAAAATGTGTTCTTATTTTATGGTTCAGGCCTGTTTTGTCATTTTTTAAAACTCATCTTTTACAGATCACAGCTCTATTTTTGTATTTTGTCTTTGTCCTATGAAACACCATATTATGAGACACTTCTTATTATCCAGTGATAAAAACAACTCCAAAAGGAACTGTTGCACACAGTACAAGTGAAGATAACTTTCCCTGAGCAGTGTTTGTGAGCTCCCTGCTTAGGGCCCCCCAGAAGGGAACAGAGTACACAAAGAGATAGGGAATCACATGACACATGCCCATGTGATGCATACACAAAGATTCTTCTTTCTTATTCTTGATAAAAACAGACACGGCTGTATAGCACCTAATTTTCTGTCCGTACAATCAAGGATGATTTCCACACACACTGATTTAAGGTCAGTGTATGGAAAAACCACAGAGAAGAAGAATGATTGCACCTCTTAAGCCTGGAAAATACAACTTTCCATTTCTTTCTTTTTTTTGTTTAATGACAAGGTGGCCTGTCTCTCGTCGCTAAAAGTGTTGACTAAAATACTCCAACTGGTGAGGGCAGCTGGAGGCATGCAATGGAAAAATATCTCCCTCCTCCCTCGCGCTCCTTTCCTCCCCTCCACCCCTCCCTCATCTCTCGATTATATAACTCCTGTCTGTGAGCATTACTCACAACACTCATTCAAGCAGGCTCACTCTAGCAATGCTGACTGCCCGCCTCCCTCAGACCAGCTCCTTCCAACTGGCTGGGTGGCGCTCGCTGCTTCTCCTTCATTGGCTGAGTCATCCATCACTCGGCGGCTGTAGCCTGTCAGCCCATGTGGACATTCTGTCCCACTGACACACTTTCCCACTGCAGGGGGAGAAGGAGGAGGGAGGAAAGTGCACAGTCCTGCTCTATGCAAACCAGTTTTAAGGTGGAACTGAACAATGCTCGGGCTTCGCCACAAAACATCTAATTGAATGCCTCTCGGAACCTGCGCTTAAAAAAAAAAACTTGTTACGTAAGAGCAAAATTTAAGGAAAGCACCCAGGAAACCACTGAGACTGAGCCAAACTTCGTAGTTTTTTGCTGTAATTTGGCTTTTCTTCGACTTGAAACTATACAAAGGTATTTCAGTAACAAGACACCACATGTGGTAGGACTGTACAGCACATACTGTACAGTCAGTCCACTGCAAGCATGCACACTCTGAACTTGACTGTCAGCTATGCAGCCCCCACCCCTGAGCCTGGTCTGTGACATTGAGCTTCTACTTCAACCCATTCTATTCCTGTCCTGCTATGAGAGCCAAAATGACAAAGATGTCCTGCCACTCAGCCCAAGCAACAGCCGCACAGACTAGACGTACTCCGTCTTTGCTGTCAGCAGATATCCAGGTACAGCTGCAGACACCATCAGATGTATTGAGTTTTTCATGATGTTGATCATGACAGAACACATTTGTATTTGGAGAAAGTCAACAGTGCCCTTACAAGTAGCCCAACCAATCTGAATCTGTTAATCCAAAGAATGAATGATAACTTAACAAAGATGTAACTAGAAATAGAATGGGAAGTAAGTTTGCAACATGCAAAGTATTTCAATTAAAGGCTAAACTGTTTTACTTATTGTTATAATCAATAAGAAATAATCCATTTTAAGTTAAAACACCACAACTTTGGACCAATTGTCAATCCCTGAAAATATTTTGTGCTTGCATAACAAAGAAAACCACCATCTCTGCACACTTTAGAAGATATACAAGCAATTCCCTTAATCTGTTCGGTGTCACATGTGAGTAATTAAATAAGTGCTTATCAAAACATGGGTTGTTTATGAATACACTGACTAATCTTAACATACCACTATTTTTTTGCTGAACACTTCATTTAAATTCCACTGACTGTCAACACTGACAGAGATGCAACATCAGAAGACGCTAAACCATTAAAAGCACATTTACCTTTAACCCTGAATATCACTGATGACCTGTGAAACAACAACCGTCTGAGGTCTCTGACCTTTAGCTCTCTTGGGACAGCAGCCAATCCAAATAGATCAATACAAGTCGTGCTTTTAGCAAATGATGAATGTAATCTGCCACCCTTTATATTTCTCAGACTTTGACACAATAAGTGTGCGTGAGGAGAAACAAGTAAACAAAGAAGGACCTTTAGAGCTGAGGAAGGTATTTGTGTTCTAGGATGGTAACTTTGTGCGGCACACCCCGATTCAACACGGACTCAACTGAAAAGAGACGTTGTAACGGCTCAGGCAAACATACTGGTCTCAGAGAGTTTATCAGCTAGCTAAATGTGTAACTTTGTTATCTCTAGAGAGGCTAATTCAGCCAGGGTGGGGTAGGGAGAGGCGAAGGAAAATCACTGACTTTGCGCTTCCAACAGCTCACTTCTCTGTGCCTGAAGAGGAAGAAAGAGGCAATTACGAGTGCCCCATGGCCAGTGTGTCAAACAGTCAGTGTGTCAGTGTGTCGCGGGCATAGCAAAGAAAAAAGGATGAATTCTGACCGGCCATGTACTCCTTCATTGCATGCCTTCGAATACACACGCAGGTTTCCACTCATCCAGTTCTTGCACTCAGAACCTGTTTTAAGGAGGCTGGCCTGCTTGTGTTTGCTCTGTGCTAAGCCACAGTACAATTAGAAACACCACCGGCCCTAGAGCAACACATTAACACAACTCTGTACCGACACTTTTAATTTTCTCACCACCTACTCATGAGAAAAGCTTGCAAAATGAGAACAAACGCTTAAAAGGAGGTGTGGGGGTGTTACGCCTGAGCTCAATAAGACACGCAGATACCTTTCAGTGTTTTCTTCTTCGGGCTTTTATTCAATTTCGGGAATATTTCTTTTTCCAAAATATTTTTTTGTTCAAAGATGTGATTTATGGATTTATTTTAACACTTCCTAGTTCAATTCAAGAGGCAGTTTGAAACACATTTTCATTAACTCATCAAAATATATTTTACTTATTTTCAAATGATTATCCAACTTTAATTAATCTAAAAATGAATTAAACCAACATACAAAATGCAATATGACCATCTGGCAGCTGGTGCTTTCTGTGGACTCTATTTTAAATGATGCAAATACCACTGGAGGCCATGCTGAGGCCCACAGAGGGGAGGGCTGAACAGAACTAAGAACCTCCCTGGCCTTGTCGGTTCTTATGATCTCTCACGGCGTCTGGAAAACACTTTGTAGGAGTTCACAAAAATTTCTTGAACAGCAAACCGGGGGGAGGACTCAGAGGTCCAGACTTCGCAACAGGCATCAAAAGGCCTGTCAGCATGCCAAAAGAGTGAGACATGACTCAACAGTTTAATCGTGATTGCAAGTACAGTACGCGGAGGGACGCTCAAACTCAGATGCAAAAAATGCTGACATTTCTTTTCATTGAAGGAAGAGACAGGTTGAGTGACAAACCTCAATTTTTGGCCCAGCAGGCTAAAAAAGAGTCGTGGTTTGTTTACATTTGGATATCCTGCCAGAGCGGGAACCTCCCTCCACAAGAGAGGCCCCTATGTTTCTTCCTCCTACCCTCCCTCCCTCTTCTCCTTTTTTCTAGTACAAAAAGAATCCATCTGTTTCCTCTCCCTGCCAAAAGAACAAAAGTCCTAGCAGGTAAATCTTTGCTCCCGAACAACAAAAGCCTCTGTATGGTCGAAAACAATGTAGCCACTTCAAACATAGGTCAACAGAGAGAATTAGGCTGTCCGGGCCAAACTCCTGCAGGTGGACCGGTTTTAACTTTTCATCTTTGGCCTGTTACAGTCTTTATGCAGACGCAGAAAACACACATCTGCTCTTTTGAGCCCATATGAATCTATTCAAAATTCAGTTCAGCCGTCACTGAGAGTGCACAGGCTGTAAATAAGCAATCATGCCCGGATAATATGTTTTATTCTCCCAATGGCTGGATTTGAGTCGACCATCAGAGAGAGCCTGTAGCTACACACATGGTGATGCACAAACCGGCAGCACGACTCTTCTCGGAGTCACCCCTCCTCCCCCCGTTATGGATGCTGTATAATAGTGGGTGACATAACTGGGTCAGTGGAACAGCCGCGTCTCTCTCCCTCTGTACGCTCACAGTCGGCCATGCTGGCACAGTCATCGCAACAAAACAACACCACAATTACACTGCCACGGCTCAGAAGCATCTTCAAAGGTCAGCTGGGAGAATAAGCACCTTTTCAAGCAGTCTGAGAAGGGAATTGTCTTTCAAAATGACATAACAAGAAATACGCATATTAATAGCCAGAAACGATGGTTAAATTGTCATATGCGTTGCAGAAATGATTGCACTGGAAAGTCAGCTTTTTAATTTACCTTGAAAGACACTCGATGAGGTCGAATAACATCTCGATTACATAATTGTAGTTTTGGTTAACAACAGCGTGCCCCCATGCCCCTCCCTCTCCTCATTGCATAACTCTTACATGGGTCCCCTCGTTAAATTCACCGGATTCTGAGGTGAGTTTTGACAGTAAAAAACGTACAGATATGGCAACGCCATGCATTATGAAAGAACCATTACGCACATACCAGAAAACATCGAAAGCATAGTCTGATTTATATCAGAAGTGGAAATATTTCAGGAAAAATCATTAAAAAAAATTATTTGAGCTTTCGTCATTGAGCTTTGCATTTAACTCTTGTTCCGTGCACGCTGAACTTCAGCCTCCGACATGCCGTTTCGAGCTCTGTGCAGCCATAATCCAGTCAAGAGGGATTAGTGCGCACAGGGGAGGAAAACACGCGCTCTCCGGTCCCTGTGCGCACACATGTGGCTGCCGTTCCAAAACCAGGCAAAATAACACAGCGACCAAGTTCTAACTAGAAGCATACAGATTCACTATGAAAATAAATGTTAAAAAATCAGCTTACCTCTCATTTTGACTTTTTAAAAATGTATTCTTGGTAAGACGAAGAAGCTTCGACTACATTAGGGTGAGCGTAGCCAACGGGAAAGACGTGCGTAAAAGCGGTGGAGCCAGAGCAAACTGGCTCTGCAAATATTAACTTCGTCCCGGCTGCAATCAGCTTCGTCAAGCACGGCCCAAAAAAGGGAAAACAAACAAACAAACAGTCGAAACTCTTCTTATTTATCGCTCGATCAAGTCCGAGCAAAATAAAAGAGTGAAAAAAGTCGCTTGGGTTCGCATCGTAGACCTCTCTGAGCACTGCCGAACGGACTAGACTTCTTCTTTTTTTTTGACAGATTAGTCCCACAGATGAAGGAGCGGCGTTCGGACCCCCCCACTGAGCTGTGACTCTCCGCCTGTCTTCCTCTCAGTCTACCCTGCTAACCTACTTTCTCCAAGCGTGGGCTCTCACATGATCTCACTGCCGACAGCTCCTCGCGCAACGCACGCGGGAACGCGCATTCCGGAGCGAGTTTAAGGTGGTCTGGTAAATGATTAACTCAACGCTCTGTTCTTCCTCCTTCCTCACAGCACAGTGTTCAAGTGCACAAGTAAAGTAAAATAATCACTAAATTATTATAATCACACTATGTCATTTAATACTGCGTATTAAATATATATGTAATGTAATGGAAACGGTTTGCAGGATCAATCTTTCTTATTGAAGCTATTTCCATCAGGAGTTGCTTGTTGATTTTGTCACTCTTAAACGAAAGTTGAACAACTTCAGCTTAAAAGGGACGGGATTGGATAAAGTGTGATGTTCAGATGTTGATGTGTTGTTATTGTCTTCTGAATCATGCAGATTTATTTCTCTTTGCGTTGTCAGTTTGTACAAGAAAGGAAAGGCCTCCAAATATTTCTGTCACTTTTCCCAACAATTTCAGATGTAATTAAAGTTTGGAGTTTGCACCCACTGACCTTGTAAAAGTGGTTTCACAGAAGCCCGGCCCCTGTTTCACGTCTGTATTACAGATGCTGGAACAAATTCCACCTGCATTATTGATAGTGTTATTAGATGGCATACCAACTTTTTCTTTTGCCTTTTTACAAGAAATCCTTTGCAAAACTTTAATGATTATTTGTGCTTTTGGTAGAGAGGTTGTCCTAGAACTAGGAAATGCAGAACTTATGTGTTCGGATTAAATTAATTGACAAAAACATATAAAATGGATCCAGATTCCGACGTGTGTGTGTGAACGGGTGAACAAATTGCGCGTGTGTTTTAGGTTAAGGGTGTGTGTATGGTTGTGTATGGTGTGTGTGTGGTGTTGCTGTAGCTGGTGGCCTTATGATGCAATGATCTGGCAGCAGTGTTATGAAACAGCATGAAGGCAGGGATTACTCAAACTAGGTTAGTGGAGCAGCATAGCTCATAACACCTATGGTCACCGAACCTTTCTCATCGACTAAACACACATGCATTCATTTTCATGACCATTCTTTTTTATACTTCTTCAGGAGACCTTTGTCCTCTCCCACTTCCTTATTTTTCGTGCGTTATCTGTTCATTTATACACTTCCTTGTCTCCTTTTCTCTTGGCAACATTTAAATTTATTCAAACAGCTTGTTGCTGTCATTTATCAGCACCAGTTAAACTCATCAGCTCAGAGTGCGGTTTCTCTCTGTCGACGTCCTTCCGAAGCCCCTCTGCTCTCCGTCTCCCTTGACAATGGCAGTGACACTTTGACCTCGACTCTTACGTAACGGCTGCGCAGTTCAGCAAAGGAAGCTGACAGGGCGGGAGGGAGGGAGGGAGGGAGGGAGGGAGGGAGGGAGGAGGAGGCATGGATTAGAGCATGGCAGACATTTTGTTTCCCAATGAGACAGTAAGAGTTGAGCGAGCAGGCAGGGAAAAAGAGAAGCTCAGAAGGCGGTAGAGGATTTTGGAAGGTTGCCAGTGGCAGCATAACAGGATGAGGGAGCTGATAGAGCACGAAAATATAAATAGATGGATTGTACATTACAGACAGAGTGACAACTAGCAGCTTTATTAAATTAAAGAGTGCAAACAACTAGGGCTATACATAGGGTGAATACATAATCACTACAATATTTTTTTGACTGCACCTAACAACAGAATCTTATGAGCTTTAAGTTCTTCTTAAATTCTTTGATTTCTTCTGCATCATCATTCACATTATCAACAGCCCTATTTTAGAATATTGCACAAACCCTTGGATCTGTGCAAATGGGAAACGCTTTTAATGTCAGACAAGCTCACATTTTGTTGCATTGCAGTGTAGTCTTGTTGTTAGGAATAGCCTCAAGTTTCTCCTTATTCAGATCAAAGCAGAGGAAGGCTTGTGACTCCCCAGGGTTGAATTTAAAGGCCTTGCTCACATCAAAGAGTCTTTGTAGGAATGAGGGACCAACTGTAACTGATTGGCTGCACATGGTTCCAGCGGGGCCCCATGGCCAATCTCTGCAGCATCAGCTTCTTAGATTCCACCACAAAACTTTACTGTCCACATTTCTGCACTCTGCACACAGAGTTGAACATAAAAAACGCAACCGTTTTTTTTTTCTTAATGGACCAGCTTCTCGTCACTTCCTAATTTATGCTGATATCTTGTGCTCGCACCTAAAAAAGGATAGAATAACAAACATATGGGAATGTGGTGGACTGTGTCAGTCAGTTTGTTGGGATTATTCAGGCTCCCTACATCCAACGGAGCTGTAATCCTTTACTACTTCTCTCAGTCAGTTAATCTCCCTGTTCTCTCTGGAAGCATCGTTAATTCCCCCTCCCCCGCTCCACAAAGCCATGGCCCTGTAATCTGGGGCAGTGAGCTTTGCTGCATCACCGGGTCAGTATGTCAGAGAGAGTAGAAACACTGTCCTCTCCTGTCAGAGTCTGCTCATCCTCCTCTCAGCTCCGCTTTACGTCCTCATCCCATCGCTGTCTTTTTCCTGTTTTACTCCCTGCTCCCTTTATCTTGCCTGCTCATATTACCTCCATTGCACATCTGCTTCTTTTCCCCCCTTATCATTTTTCAAACACGACGTAACCATAGATTTTGATAAGGCCTGCCAAATTAATTTCTAAAAGCATGAGTTCAATCGTGGGCCATAAAGTCCGTATCTTCTAACTTGGCACTCACACTCGCTCAGCTTGCATGCCTCAGTGACAAAAACTCAATTGTGTATCCTTGGGGTGTTTTGGCATCTCTTATTTTCAGTAACAATGTGAAAAAATATCCGTTGTTGTTTGTCTTGAAATATGGCCTTCTATAGTAAAATAAACAATGGCAAGCATTTGTCGACATTTTTTTGCCTTTGCTGCAAAAATGTGAAACCTAAACTTGGCCTAAAGATGAAGATATACTGGAAAATTAAAACCTGACTGATTCTTTTCTTTAAATTCTGTTTTCCAAAGAGCTCCTCTGTTATGAAACTGAAAAGTGAGGCTTAGTGGTATACCTCTACATACAAATTGCTGCATATGATTGTTTGATCACGGTTGCTGGACTGTTGTGTCACTGACAATGAAATACGCCTTTGACCTATGCTGGAGATCACTTTAGAGCTGAAATATTCAGAAATAATGCTTGAAAGGTTTATCTTTAACATGTTACGCTCTTATCTAGTAATAAATGTTTAATTCATCTCCAATGGATTTGGCCTCATCCTGTAGAAGGTCACAGGTGAATAGTGTTATAGCCTTAACCTTGGACACAGTCTATCACAGGGCCAAACCGCTAAATAGATGGCCATACAGCCTCAAATTTATGGCTGATCTAGGGCCTTAGATCCTACGAGGAAGAGGGAGCATCTGAAGAAAACTGAGTAGGGTACCGGAAGATCATGCCAATTCAATGCCTCAAGGCTCTTTAATCACATGTGTTCAAACTCTAGATCTTCTTGCTTTTAGTAGTACCTATGATGCCCAGAGAATACTTACTATATATATGTATAATATGATACATAATAGCAATTTTAATAACAGCTTTCTTTTTTGTACTGAATGTGACTCTCTTTTTGCAAAAATACAGGTTTAGAAGGAAAACCTATTCTTTGTGGCTGCTTGTTTAGGTAAATAACCTAACACACCGCACCTATACTGAATTACAGCCAGTGTAATTTTCCTCTGTATGTCAGGGCTTGTCTTAACAAAGACAATCAGCAGCAAAAGTCTTGCTCTGTCGTTCACTGTCTCCCTTTCTCTGTCCACCCTTACGCAATTCTTTTGTTGCCCACAAAGCAGGTTCAACATCCACACCCATAGATGCTTGAATAGGGGGAGGACCTCTGTATTGCCAACACATTTGCCCAACCATTCCCCTAATTTAGTTGAAAAAATACAATTGTGACAGTTCTGGCTGTATTCACAGCTAGTTCATCAGCTGGCTTTGAAATGTAGTAAATGACAAATCTGTGCAGACCTCGTCCGCTCTGACACAGGGACCTGATGCAAATACAAATGTATGCTATGCAAAGACGTGGTAAGTGTAAATGTATGTTTCCGTAGCAACGGGGTGGTGTTTATCTCCGGCGTGATTCAGCGTGCTTCGCCATGTGAGCATGACCTAGTTACGCCCAGTTGAGTGAGAGTGTGCACATAAGCATGTGCAGCACACACATGGGATCCCACATGTAACGCCATATGGATGCTGACGAACTTGCGATGTCCAGAAGATAATCAGGCTGGGAAGCACAGTGAAACGGAGAAGAGTTATTATCATGGTGTTGTGTTTGTTTTTCGCGGTCGTAATTGATCTACCTCCTGCTTTGTACCTCATTGTTTCTTGCATATGTGTCCCAGTGACCCAAATCTGCTGTGTGCCATCTCCATGGCACTGCCGGACACCTATACCCTCCTTATCTCACTGTGCTTTTCATCCTCCCCATTTCTTTCATCTACCCATCTTCCATCATGTCCTCTATACTTGCTCGATTTAATCCCGGACCTCTAACTAACTCAAAATGATCTTGCAAGGAGAGAATCAAGCTTTTGTGTGGATTATGCTCATATTCAGACATTTTCAGCTTGATGCCACACAGATCTGTTTCACTCAGTTCATCCTCCTCACCACTCAGCTTTGGTCTACGTACTCTAACCATCTTGATTGTTGTTAGCAAGATAAACACTGCATTGGGGAATCATGGATGGCAGAAATCTGCAAACTCTGTTAATACATAACCACCCTGATGACTCATCCTAGCACAGGCAGCAGAAACAGAGACACCCAGTGATCAGACTGTGGTATGACATGTTCAGCTTATGTAATACTTGGACTTTGGAGGTGAGCTGTTTTTTATTATGGCTTTTGCTCCATATTGCCATCAGGCTTCTCGAACACAGGACATGTTATATGTTAAGTGCGTTACAGAGATATTAAAGTGAGGATGATTAAACTGAGTATTCTCTATCATTCACTTACACAGACATTCTTAAGATAAAGGGGTCTCTTCAAATAATAATAATATCTTCAGAGTAAATACAGAAACACACATTCATGCAGCTGAACAAGACTGCCCCTCCAAATGTTCACAGATTAACGACCCCCACAAATATTATGCAACGTCGGGGCATTATGTAATCAAAACAAAAAGCTGGATCAAATTAATAAACTGCTCGCTGATTAAGAAGCCCACATGGTGCTGCTGACTCATCCAACCTGACTGGTATCCATGGAAGTGCAATTTGTTTTTGTTGGGCTGCTACATGTTTTCTGGATGCTTATGTGGGGGACGTATCACTCACCCAGTCGCTGAAATGGAAGACTGGGTGGTGTTTGTCAGGCTCGGGAGGTGTGCAGTTTGCCTGCATTGCGTCACAACGGGGAGCAGAGGAGCAGGGAGAGAAGGGAGACAGGAGAGGAGAGGAGAGGGAGGTGTGTCCTCACTGACCTAGTTAGAGCAACGGAAACCCCCCCCCC